TGGCCCTGCTTACAGTCAGGGATATATAGATATACAGAGCGTGGCCCTGCTTACAGTCAGTGATATATAGATATACAGAGCGTGTCCCTGCTTACAGTCAGTGATATATAGATATACAGACCGTAGCCCTGCCCTGCTTACAGTCAGTGATATATAGATATACAGAGCGTGTCCCTGCTTACAGTCAGTGATATATAGATATACAGACCGTGGCCCTGCTTACAGTCAGTGATATATAGATATACAGACCGTGGCCCTGCTTACAGTCAGGGATATATAGATATACAGACCGTGGCCCTGCTTACAGTCAGTGATATATAGATATACAGTCAGTGATATATAGATATACAGTCAGTGATATATAGATATACAGTCAGTGATATATAGATATACAGTCAGTGATATATAGATATACAGACCGCGGCCCTGTTTACAGTCAGTGATATATAGATATACAGAGCGTGGCCCTGCTTACAGTCAGGGATATATATAGATATACAGAGCATGTCCCTGCTTACAGTCAGGGATATATAGATATACAGAGCGTGTCCCTGCTTACAGTCAGGGATATATAGATATACAGAGCGTGTCCCTGCTTACAGTCAGTGATATATAGATATACAGAGCGTGGCCCTACTTACAGTCAGTGATATATAGATATACAGACCGTGGCCCTACTTACAGTCAGGGATATATAGATATACAGAGCGTGGCCCTGCTTACAGTCAGTGATATATAGATATACAGAGCGTGTCCCTGCTTACAGTCAGTGATATATAGATATACAGAGCGTGTCCCTGCTTACAGTCAGTGATATATAGATATACAGAGCGTGGCCCTGCTTACAGTCAGTGATATATAGATATACAGAGCGTGTACCTGCTTACAGTCAGTGATATATAGATATACAGACCGTGGCCCTGCTTACAGTCAGTGATATATAGATATACAGAGCGTGGCCCTGCTTACAGTCAGTGATATATAGATATACAGAGCGTGGCCCTGCTTACAGTCAGTGATATATAGATATACAGACCGTGGCAGTGCTTACACAGTCAGTGATATATAGATATACAGACCGTGACCCTGCTTACAGTCAGTGATATATAGATATACAGACCGTAGCCCTGCTTACAGTCAGTGATATATAGATATACAGAGCGTGTCCCTGCTTACAGTCAGTGATATATAGATATACAGACCGTGGCCCTGCTTACAGTCAGTGATATATAGATATACAGACCGTGACCCTGCTTACAGTCAGTGATATATAGATATACAGACCGTGGCCCTGCTTATAGTCAGTGATATATAGATATACAGACCGTGGCCCTGCTTACAGTCAGTGATATATAGATATACAGAGCGTGGCCCTGCTTACAGTCAGTGATATATAGATATACAGACCGTGGCAGTGCTTACAGTCAGTGATATATAGATATACAGAGCGCGGCCCTGCTTACAGTCAGTGATATATAGACCATGGCCCTGCTTACAGTCAGTGATATATAGATATACAGACCGTGTCCCTGCTTACAGTCAGTGATATATAGATATACAGACCGTGGCAGTGCTTACAGTCAGTGACATATAGATATACGAACCGTGACCCTGCTTACAGTCAGTGATATATAGATATACAGACCGTGCCCTGCTTACAGTCAGTGATATATAGATATACAGAGCGTGTCCCTGCTTACAGTCAGTGATATATAGATATACAGACCGTGGCCCTGCTTACAGTCAGTGATATATAGATATACAGACCGTGACCCTGCTTACAGTCAGTGATATATAGATATACAGACCGTGACCCTGCTTACAGTCAGTGATATATAGATATACAGAGCGTGGCCCTGCTTACAGTCAGTGATATATAGATATACAGAGCGTGTCCCTGCTTACAGTCAGTGATATATAGATATACAGACCGTGGCCCTGCTTACAGTCAGTGATATATAGATATACAGACCGTGACCCTGCTTACAGTCAGTGATATATAGATATACAGACCGTGACCCTGCTTACAGTCAGTGATATATAGATATACAGAGCGTGGCCCTGCTTACAGTCAGTGATATATAGATATACAGAGCGTGGCCTACTTTACAGTCAGTGATATATAGATATACAAGCGTGGCCTACTTACAGTCAGTGATGATATACAGAGTGCAAATTATTAGGCAAATTAGTATTTTGACCACATCATCCTCTTTATGCATGTTGTCTTACTCAAGCTGTATAGGCTCGAAAGCCTACTACCAATTAAGCATATTAGGTGATGTGCATCTCTGTAATGAGAAGGGGTGTGGTCTAATGACATCAACACCCTATATCAGGTGTGCATAATTATTAGGCAACTTCCTTTCCTTTGGCAAAATGGGTCAAAAGAAGGACTTGTCAGGCTCAGAAAAGTCAAAAATAGAGATATCTTGCAGAGGGATGCAGCACTCTTAAAATTGCAAAGCTTCTGAAGCGTGATCATCGAACAATCAAGCGTTTCATTCAAAATAGTCAACAGGGTCGCAAGAAGCGTGTGGAAAAACCAAAGCGCAAAATAACTGCCCATGAACTGAGAAAAGTCAAGCGTGCAGCTGCCACGATGCCACTTGCCACCAGTTTGTCCATATTTCAGAGCTGCAACATCACTGGAGTGCCCAAAAGCACAGGTGTGCAATACTCAGAGACATGGCCAAGGTAAGAAAGGCTGAAAGACGACCACCACTGAACAAGACACACAAGCTGAAACGTCAAGACTGGGCCAAGAAATATCTCAAGACTGATTTTTCTAAGGTTTGCTGGACTGATAAAGTAGAGTGAGTCTTGATGGGCCGGAATGGATAAGGCCGTGGCTGGATTGGTAAAGGGCAGAAGGCTCAGTCGACTCAGACTCAAGCAAGGTGGGGTGGAGTACTGGTTTGGGCTGGTATCATCAAAGATGAGCTTGTAAGGGCCTTTACCGGGTTGAGGATGGAGTCAAGCTCAACTCCAGTCCCTACTGCCAGTTCTAGAACACCTTCTTCAAACAGTGGTACGGAAAGTCTGCATCCTTCAAAGAAAAACACAGTTTTCATGCAGGACAATGCTCCATCACACGCGTCCAAGTACTCCACAGCGTGGCTGGCAAGAAAGGGTATAAAAGAAGAAAATCTAATGGCATGGCCTCCTTGTTCACCTGGTCTGAACCCCATTGAGAACCTGTGGTTCATCATCAAATGTGAGATTTACAAGGAGGGAAAACAGTACACCTCTCTGAACAGTGTCTGGGAGGCTGTGGTTGCTGCTGCGCGCAATGTTGATGGTGAACAGATCAAAACACTGACAGAATCCATGGATGGCAGGCTTTTGAGTGTCCTTGCAAAGAAAGGTGGCTATATTGGTCACTGATTTGTTTTTTTTTGTTTTTTTGAATGTCAGAAATGTATATTTGTGAATGTTGAGATGTTATATTGGTTTCACTGGTAATAATAAATAATTGGAATGGGTATATATTTGTTTTTTGTTAAGTTGCCTAATAATTATGCACAGTAATAGTCACCTGCACACACAGATATCCCCTAACATAGCTATAACTAAAAACAAACTAAAAACTACTTCCAAAAATATTCAGCTTTGATATTAATGAGTTTTTTGGGTTCATTGAGAACATGGTTGTTGTTCAATAATAAAATTAATCCTCAAAATACAACTTGCCTAATAATTCTGCACTCCCTGTATAGATATACAGACCATTAGCCCTGCTTACAGTCAGTGATATATAGATATACAGAGCGTGTCCCTGCTTACAGTCAGTGATATATAGATATACAGAGCGTGGCCCTGCTTACAGTCAGTGATATATAGATATACAGAGCGTGTACCTGCTTACAGTCAGTGATATATAGATATACAGACCGTGGCCCTGCTTACAGTCAGTGATATATAGATATACAGAGCGTGGCCCTGCTTACAGTCAGTGATATATAGATATACAGAGCGTGGCCCTGCTTACAGTCAGTGATATATAGATATACAGAGCGTGGCCCTGCTTACAGTCAGTGATATATAGATATACAGACCGTGGCAGTGCTTACAGTCAGTGATATATAGATATACAGACCGTGACCCTGCTTACAGTCAGTGATATATAGATATACAGACCGTGGCCCTGCTTACAGTCAGTGATATATAGATATACAGACCATGGCCCTGCTTACAGTCAGTGATATATAGATATACAGACCGTGGCCCTGCTTACAGTCAGGGATATATAGATATACAGACCGTGGCCCTGCTTACAGTCAGTGATATATAGATATACAGACCGTGGCAGTGCTTACAGTCAGTGATATATAGATATACAGACCGTGGCCCTGCTTACAGTCAGTGATATATAGATATACAGACCGTGGCCCTGCTTACAGTCAGTGATATATAGATATACAGACCGTGTCCCTGCTTACAGTCAGTGATATATAGATATACAGACCGTGTCCCTGCTTACAGTCAGTGATATATAGATATACAGAGCGTGTCCCTGCTTACAGTCAGTGATATATAGATATACAGAGCGTGTCCCTGCTTACAGTCAGGGATATATAGATATACAGAGCGTGGCCCTGCTTACAGTCAGTGATATATAGATATACAGAGCGTGACCCTGCTTACAGTCAGTGATATATAGATATACAGAGCGTGGCCCTGCTTACAGTCAGTGATATATAGATATACAGACCGTGGCAGTGATGGAGCATTGCCCATATAATGTATGATATAATCAGGGGGTTGTTGACCTGCATTAGTATTGGGTATTGCTGAGCGTGTGGCCGAGGGATGCCCGCAGCATTGTCCAGGCTTGGCCCCCCCATACACAGAACCCCCCCATACACAGACACAGAGCCCCCCATACACAGACACAGAGCCCCCCATACACAGACACAGAGCCCCCCATACACAGAGCCCCCCATACACACCTTGCACAGCTGCTGGCCCTGGGAGAGCTCCTCGAACGGGTACCGCTGGTTACACTTAGTGCAGGCATACAGAGCTGAGGCCATCCCAGCCGGCAGCTCCGGGACACAGAGAGAGCGGGATACTGGGGGTCCGGTAACCGGGACACAGAGAGGGAACCTGGGGGTCCGGGACACAGAGAGCGGGGGGTTCTGGGAGTCCGGTGGCGCGGGGGGTTCTGGGAGTCCGGTGGCGCGGGGGGTTCTGGGAGTCCGGTGGCGGTGTCAGTCCCGGGTTAGCTCCGTGTGTCTGAGGGTCTGTGGAGGAGCTGACGCTGAAGTGACGCTATTCCAGGCAGGTGTGACGCGGCTTGCTGCTCCGGGCTCTCTGTATGTCTCCTCGGACTATGGTTTAATAAGGAGAGAAGAAAAAAAAGAAAAAGATTCCCCCCCCCGCTTCAAAAGAAAAAAAAAAAAACCTGATTGTAACCGGATACTGACACAATCTACATCACGACAAAGGAAGAGCTGCGGGAGCCAATCACAACCGCCGGCGGTCACGCGGGAAGCTGCCGTTTGAATCCCAGCAGCCAATCACAGGGCGCCTCTTGCTCTGTGCGCCAATCAGGAAGCGCGCTGGCCGTGAGGGCGGGTACCAACCCTTTATCTGTGTTACGATTGGCCGGGCGCCGCCGCGAGACGAACTTCCGGCCGAATTGCGTGACGGTTAATTGCGGCCGCCCCTCCCGCAATGAGAGGGTTAATGTTAGTCACGGCCTAGCTCGCTATCCCGGGGCGCAGGACACGGGGGGGTATGCCGGGTGTGTGGCAGGCACAATTCGGTCCGATATTCGGGCTGATTGCCGGGTGTAGGTCACGGTAGAGGACACGGTTTGTTATTGTTCCCTTAGCTTTCCTATTGGAGGTGGTCTAGCCACGCCCTCCCGGAGTGTCATTGGACGGCAGCGCGTGTCGTCACTAAGCCCCGCCCTTCCCCCGGGATGATTGACGGGGCTCGCTCTGTCAGGACCCACGGCGTCTATGGGTGAAGCGGGGTGACCCGAATCCGAGACACACTGCGGGTGGAGCAATATGGCGGCCGCCTGTCCGTCCAAATCGGTGAGACCCAGGGGAGGGGGAGATCCCAGAGTCTTCCATCAGCCCATGGATGCTGGGGGGAGTGAGGCAGCTGTAGCCCAGTGCAGACTCGGACCTAGGCGTCATTTATGGGTCCTTTCAGCACCCCCATGACGTCATATGACTCCACGTGACGTCATATCGGTCCCCATGACGTCATATAAGTGCAGGGATGCTATTGCTGCAAAAATAATTACCCACTAAACCACCAGATGTGCAGAATTCAGGCTGCTGTGGGGGGCTTGTTCACTGGAGTGTGAATTGTCAGGAAGTGATGGTGAATTTCATCCATATTATTATTATTATTATTATTGAGTAAAGGGAGAATTTACAGTGAATTTAAAATTTAAGGTCAAAATAGACGAAGTGGAAATATCCTCTAAGTCCACCGTGCTTTCATTTCGGTTGCTCCGACCTTTAAATGTAAAATTTTACTTTTTATATTCCCATTTTAGTGAATATCTCGGTACAGTTGTCAGGCCAAATTAGTCCAATAGAATAAATTCTCCAAACATTACCATATGTATTTCAATTCGGAGGTTAATAAACCCAAAATCCACAGCCTGTTTGAGATGAAATCTTCCAGTCAAGGATGGGGAGAAAAATAAATTAGCGACACAAAGGAGACCTGACAACCGTCTGTATCAGGTTTGGACTATGTTTGACATCCGAGTCCAATAACACGATGGGCGTCATGCAGAATGTAGATCACAACATCCAATGTGACATTTAACACAATTCCCAACATTCAGTCCCTAATTTCCACATTTTAGCAAATTAAATCCAAATTGAAAAGTCTACACAAAAGTAGCTGCTCTGGAAGTGTTTTCCAAGTCCGCTCTAGACTTTCAGGGCTATTCAATAAAGTGTAAAACACTCTCCAGGTCATTTGGAAAGGTTTTATTTTAGTTATATTGAAATTCACAATTCCCAACAATTCACACTTTGGTGAATAATACGGACAACTTTTTTGTTTGAGACAGAATTTTGCAGTTATAATGTAATTTGCTAAATGTCAGTACATTTTGTAATTATAGATTTAATTAATTAAAATTTAGAGTTTAGTGCATAACATTGCTAGAGTTTCCCTTTTCAGTTGAATATTTTTACCTGCCTGCAGACAATTTGGGTCGTAATGGCTTAACTTGAAAACAAAACTCCAAATCGGCTATGCTTCAAGTTGAGCTACTTTGGCCTTAAATTTAATTCCTCACAGTTTTCACTTTAGTAGATAACGCTGTCAGTGGCAAAATGCTGTGTGGTTGTAAGAGAACAAGCACATTCTAGGTCGTCTTATAAAGATACCTTACGTCTCTTATCAGTATATTGAATAAGACTCGCTTGTTTAAAGTGTTACTCCGAGCACTTCAGTGGTTTGAAGTGGTCATGGTGCCTGGAGTTTGAAACGCTGCACATATCAAGTTTAGCCCCTTGGCTGGTGAAGGTGCAACTCCACCTTCAGCAGCGTCATAGGGTGGCATCTGCCAGCCGGAACTCATGCATTACGTGCCATTCTTCGGCTTAGAGTGGTTTGCTAACGCTTTTAGCCAGTGAGTGACTACTGCATCGGTTTCTGCAGAAGCTGAAAGTATGTCACCACAGCAGCAGGGAGCCGTGGGGACCCAGGTAAGATGGCAAAACGAAATGGTTTTCTCCATTACCAGGAACCAGGCCAAGGTACCCTGGCACCATAACCACTACAGCGGGCTAGCCTGTTAATGTTAAACCTGATGTCCACTTTCTGTTACTGAAGAACAGTAAGTGACCGATAAATGCCAGTAGAAACCTTGTCCCTGATCTATGGCAGATGATTCTGCTGTTACCAATAAATGCTCCTGCTTGGGAACTTTTGTTCTTTTTTTTTCTCTAACAATCTACACTGTATACACTCCCACATATCAGTTGATTTTAAAAATACCTGAGGAATAAATATGGCACAGATAGTAGCCTACTGGATAATTCACAAGGTGATGCCAATTTTAGGCCAACATAGCATATATCTATATTTTTTCCATTTTAGCTACTTTGACTTACAATTAATGAGTCGACTGTGTGCTGTCATACAAGTTTATTCTCGTTAATTCTGTCATAGAAATTGTTGTATTTAAAATACAACAATTCATGAAAATTGGAAACTCAAAAATGCATCTGTCAAACAACAAGAATATACACTGTGTTTTCTCATTGGTGATGTTACCAATAGGATGCTACTTATTAACTGACCGTTTTATTTCAATTCTACAACCCAATGGTGGCAGGATATAAAATAGGTAAAGGAAACTTTGTTACAGAAGGCTTCACTATATAAAGCAGAGCAATATTTGTAACTATTTAGGTGGTTAAATAACATTTGTAGTGTATTCCATAAATGTTTGATTTTTTTAATTTATTTTTTCTGGTACAGCCGCACACATCCTTTCGTGGAAGTACTAAAGAATCCCGTCAAGACACCCCCTCAGCAAGTTCATATGCTACCTATCCAAGAAGAAAGCCTTTTATTAATTCGGATGTACAGTGTCCTCTTGGAAAACATGTGCCTGCTTACCCAGAAAGTAATAGCAGAGGTAATCTATATTCTTGGTGTGTGATACATAGATAAATATTGCAGTTTATCTGCCCTCGCAGAATTCCCATTCCCATGATGCTTTGACAGCTGGAGATCTACATGTAACCAGCTCTGATATAGGCAAATAATGGTTGAGATTTAGCAGTGTCGCTTTAAAACTTTTCTGGCAAATGTATGGTGTGGGGTTTTTTTTTGTTTTTCTTCGCATGTTACTTTTATTTGCACCATTCGAAGGCAACACAATCTTTTGAAAGACTGTCAATGTTTTTGAATATGTGCCATCTTTCGTCAACACAATGGTTTTATTGAATATATGCGCCACTTTTTCTGACATCGAAAAGTGGCATTTTTTATCTCATTTATTGCAAAAACTGGTGGAGTTTACTATTAAGAGAGCCGTCACTTTTTAGATCACTTTAATAAACTCGATTTAAACCAACACTTTTCGGAACACTTTTGTAAATATCTCCAAATATTCCCTTATGAGTGCTATAAAAATCTACCCATCTTGGGTCGGCCTGTCTTAGCATTGGAAAATAATACAATATTCATATAGACTTATTTTATTAAACAGCAAACTTTATTTAAAGAAGTCCTACTAAGCACCTAAACTGCATTTGTATGGCTGATTTAAAAAAAAAAAAAAGAGAGAATGATAACAATAATCACCCGGTTCAGTTGAATCACGATATGTTTTATGGTGTAATTTAAAAGCATTACCCCATAACCCCTAATCTGTTCCTTCCAATATGAGCTAGCAAGAAACATGTCTAGGGTTGGGTTGTTTGCTACAGGTGTGGCTTTTTCCCATGCAAATCAATGGGCACTGGATGCTAAAAAAAAAAATAATGGCGGTCACTTGTGCATGTAAATGATAGATACTTGTATGTAAAATTTCTTTTACATGTAAATAGGACCTTGCCAGTGACTGTTTCAACAGTGAACCCCATTCTTCGATTTGTATAGGGAATTACAATGTGTGTCTTACACCATACATACACTATTAGCAGTTCTCCAGTTGAAGTTGTGATTAGCAAGGATAACCCAGCAACATCCTGGTTGTAACTCCTGTTACTCTCATCCATCAATGCCAAGGGTTAAATAAAGACATCCCTGCTTTTGTTTCTATTTCCTTACATGTAACCGGGATAGACTACTACATTCTCACATACTCACAAAGATTGACCCTTGCTCTCATGTTTGTCTGTGGAACCTTTTAGACCTGGGCAGTAGAGGTTTACTTGATGAAGGCCTAGGCACCCTCTCCAACACTCTTGCAGCATTTAACTCCATAATGTATTTCAATAAGTAGCATATTAAATTTACTAGCTGGAGCCATAGCAGCATGGACTGGAGCAGTGCACCAAATGTGACATTGCTGGTTAGATCACAGTCGGTCAATGAGGGTTATTGGGGAAGAGTGAGCGATTTAGAATGTTTTATCATCTTCTTTAATCTGTTTACAAAACATCTTGATTAACTTTTTTTTTTTTTTTTTACGTTGGCGTTTTGATGCTTATAAATTATTACAAACTGCTGGATACCGATAGCACCCTTAAATTATTCATACAAGTTCCTTCTTGCAGCAGCTGTGCTGTCATGGATGCTAGTTAATAGAATAGGAAGTGGCTACAGCTGTTTGTCTCAGCCAAGCAAAATCATCCAAAAACAAATCCACAAAAGAAATGCCGTGTAATAAGCCCCCCGTTCTGTTAACATACTTTATCAATGAGAGGGTGACCTCATGCTGTGATATGATTTTACTGCTCGGCATATCTAAGAACCCACTTACAGTGCTGGGCAATGAGGGAGTTCTGAGATGCTGGCACAGCCACCTGCTCACTTTCCGTGACTATGCCGGCTTTGCGGATATTCTAGGGGCTCGTAAAGCCGTAAAAAGGCTGCCTGAGACCATGCTATTCCACCATATGTCAATGGTGCTGTGTGAACATAGTTCTAACTCTAATTCACTACATGTAAAACAGTCAAAGGAAGAATGTGTCCTTGTATCTGTTGGATCTACTGGGAGTACATATAGTGTGGGTTTACCTGGCTTTTAAAGTGGTACTGTCACTCCACCCCCCAAAAATCATGATCATTTCATAAAGCAAGCATCTTTCTGAAATACTTAGATTGACTTTGTTGAAGTTTCACTGAATTTCCAAACCAGCCGAAAGATATTATGTGGCAGAGTAGGGTTTACTTTGTCTCAGTATTTTTTTTACTGTTTGACACAGCTTGAGATTAGGTGGCGCTACTGTCGCCAAGCCTTGTAAATTCCCTTAACCGTGACAGCTGCAGGGAAATTAGCTCTTTCTGTGGAGGATCCTGAGATCTCAGTGTTGTACTCACACATGCAAAGTCCCCTGATGGTGACAGATCTGCTTGAAATAGATACTATAGTGCCAGGAATACAAAGCTTTATTCCTGGCACTATTGATCTTCCCTCCTTTGCGCTCCTCCCCCCGATGTCCCTCGGTACAGTGTAGATATCGTGCCACGAGCGCATGGCAAATGTCGTGCGCGCATTAGAACGCCCCATAGAAACGTATTGAATCAATGTTTTCCTATGGGGAAGCATCTGACGTTGGATGCCCTCATGCAGAGCGTGAGGAGGTCCAGCATCTGATACCGGAAAAAAGGTCAGTTTCGATCCAGGAAGCTCCTTCAGTGTCTGCCTGGTAGACAGACACTGGAGGCAGACTTAGTGCTGTAATGTAAACATTGCAGTTTCTCTGGAATGTTGGAATTAGTGTAGGACCCACTAACTGGGAATTAGTTGTGGGCTTAACACTATATGGCCATATGGTGGAACTGAATCCCCATATTTGTTTGCTGGGATTGGCAATTGTAATTAGCCTTATATAATTTTAGAAATTTATTTTGAGTACACAACCTTTAATCTGTATTATGTATAAATTATGGTCACTATGGCAGGACATTCCTGCAAGATGCATGTTCCGAGTATATCCCCAATCCCTTTTTGTTTTTTATATATATATATATATATATATATATATATATATATATATATATATATATATATATATATATATATATATATATATATATATATAAATATTATATTATACATTTTTATTTTCAAAAAAAAATTTCTTCAATCTTTTTGCACAGCTATATTCTCTGCTTTAAAAAATCTTCAGGAAAAAATCAGTAGATTGGAATTAGAGCGGCTACAAGCGGAAGATAACCTTAACCGTCTGTCGAAAGAAACTCAGGACTATAAAACCCATCTAGATAAACACGTCAAGTCCAAAGACGGTGCCGTGGATATGTCCAGACAGAATAAAGGTGTGTTTTATTCTTTAAAATAAGTTCCTATTAAAATAACGCTCCGGGCACTATAAGGACTTTATCGTAATGAAGTTCTTATGGTGGCATGAGGTCCCTGGCAAAACTGTTGGTTTGTTATCTTAAACCGTTAACAAACCAACCGTTAACCCCAAAGCCTACTGTCTAGCACTGTTCAGAACTGTCCCCTACACATATGCTTGAGTCCAAGGCTTGAAACAGGAAGCCTTGGACTGGACACCGCTAACAGGTTGAGCGCATCTGCCTATACACTGCCAGAGTTCTAAAAAACAATCTGTTACTATGTTGTGCCAATTTAAAGTACACCTGTCATGCCAATCATTAGCTGGTGTCACCTTGACTGCATCTAAGGGTGCTACATGCCATAATGCAAGCACCCGCCTTGCTTCCAAATACCATGTTCACATTCCACATAACCTAGTATTTACCTGCACACTTGGAACTGTGGGAAATGTTTTTTTATAAATCGGACTGGGGGTGGGAGCAGGTGTACCATCCATTGGTGTAGTCTGCAGTCAGTGTTCATAACTTAAACTTTGCCAGCGCAGTGTAAATATTATATCTGTTTCTACCTGAAAGAGAAATTGTCATTCACATGGTAAACAACCCAGCAAAACTCTTCTTTTAAAGCTTCGCTCAATTGTAAAAATATATCAGTGCGTATGCCTCTCACTACTTCTCCTACCACATTTCCTGCTGTACCCCCGTACACCCATACTTCCTCGTCCTGTCCAATCACATAGTGTTCGATATGTCCTCACTCAATCACCATTAGCAAGTGGAAAGTAAGAACATGTGTTCAGTAATGATCTCCAATACTCGGGTCATGTGCGATTAATGCTAAATGGAAATCTTTTTCAGATCTGTCAAGACAACTGACAGCTGCAGAAACTCGGTGCAGTGTTTTGGAGAAGCAGCTGGAGTACATGAGAAAAATGGTTCAGAAAGCAGAAAGTGAGAGAACGTCCATGCTAGAAAAACAGGTAAATTTGTAGTCCGGCTCTATACATCTTAATATGCCCTTTACGGTTTCAGGCTCAATTTCTGAATTCTGTGAAATTACATAGACGCTTAAACACCTTCAAAGTCAGCCACTCTTGTTTCAACATGCACACTGCAAACTCTATTTAGACATCGCTATAATGGGAAACGGCAAACCGACCAACCTACCTGGACAGTTTCCATCCCAGACACATGGGATGGAAATACATTTTAAAAACCAAAAACTTGATCTTTGGTCAGCCCATCAGATGTAACTGCATCTGCCTGGAAACTGCAGAATGAAATGAACACCTTTTGAAGCCTCAGTAAAAATTGTATAAATAAGGGATACAATAACACAATTATAGATGTGCAAACAGGCAGCAATGTCCCCACTTAAAACAAAACAAAACCCTCCTTTTTTGCCAACAGCCATATTAGCAGGGTATTCCCACAGCTTCCACTATTTTCTAAGGAAATCCTCAAGTTCGGCATACCTCATTACATAGCACGGTATGTGAGCAAAAACGGGCATATGTTTTATGTATTTTTTTTTTATTTTTTTTTCAGTGCATAAGGTAGGTACAGGTATGCTTGATGTACCCAGACGGCACTACTCAGGCTAAATAACACATATTACAATTGAGGTAATGAGGTATATCATGCACATTTTTAGAATAGTGGACAACAAGAGGGACAGTCAGAGGAGAACATAGTGAATACACATGAAGTGTATGCTGGATCGTCTGATGATACGCTCATAGCATGTTTAAGTAGACTATTAGTGATCATGCTAGACAAGCTACACAAATTTTGGAATTAAAGCATGAGATCAACAGGCTAAGTGTGTAGAAGAATCATGACTCGGAGCGTGCCCGTAAATGCGTGTGAGTGTGACATGTACTGAATATACAAAAATGTGCTCCCTGCGGTTAGTGGATAGAGTCCGATTCGGTGCTCCTTGTACCCTGTTTGCGGGCTCTCATGCATGTCTCCCCTGTCAGCGGGTTAGTCTTTCATCTGACACCCTTGCGAGGTGTGTATCTTGTATTGGGGCTCTGTCTCTTTTCGGTGGGGTATCATGGCATCTTGGTAGTGAGGTTTCCCATCTGCCTTGGTGCTGTGTGAGAGCTGGTACCCTCTTGTCACAAGCCTGGGTTCCGTTGTGGCCCAAGGTCGTCCCTGTCTGGATGGTGCGGTGGGTCTCGTTATCATTCCCAGGTTGTCATCGCTTGTGTCTTAACTGTCCTCCCCTGGTGTGGCCGCCACCTGTGGGGTGCTCCCCGTGTTGCTCTCAGTCCGGGAGTGCCCTTAGCGTGGAGTCTGTAGCTTGGGACTTCATTATGCAATTAAGAGGTTTCCCTTCTCTCGCCATGAACTGTCCCCCGTGAAGGCGGTATGTGGTTAGTCGTCCCTGGCTGTAAGCACGCCAGCAGCTTGGCCCAAAAGCGGTCAAAGATATCATCAAGGGTGTCTCTTACGTTATTGTTGGTGCCTGACAGGGTAGGTTGTTGCTGCCGCTTGTCATGTGTAGCAGAGTCCGATGGGTCTGCCATCTTGGGGCCCCGCTCCCATGCTGCTTGGAAGGATCGCAGGCCCCAACGAGAGGTGCAGGGCGTGAGGTCCTCCATCTGGCGGGACCGGGATATCCCCCATCGGACCATGAGGGGGCTAGCGTTACATGCTTGCATGAGGCTGTTGGCATCGGGCGGGAAGGCGGCCGTTTTTCCCTTGCCTCCTCTAGTAGGCCCCAACTTGCTGCGATTCCCGGTCATTCCTGGTGTCGAGTGTGGTATCGATGGGTTCGTGCAGGTTTCCCCAGTCCAGTAAGCTCATTTGTAGCACTGCAGTCAGAGAGAACAGCGTATTTAGAGCCCGTGTAGCAGGAGCTCATGCAGGGCACATCCTGTCAGCTTGCTAGTCAGGCTCTGCCCCGCATATGTTTATCTTAAAGGTAGAACAGATACATCAATAACAAAATAAAAAGAAACTAGAGGGCGGACACCTATCAAAATGTACGTTTCATGAACTTTTAAAATCCCTGTATTGATAAGACTACTTAACCCCAGAGAGAGAAATAATAGGTTATATTAAAGGAACACTAAAATCACCATAACCACTACTGTGCACTGCAATGGTTATGGTTCCAGGAGCGTCCTGGTGCCCTCCCACTGCAAGATGTCAAACCATTTAAGTACATCCTTTAGCTCCCCTAAACGAAGCCCTGCACAGCTTGGTGAGTTCAGTGCAGATAACTTCTGGCTTTCCTGGAGGAGGTAACTGGCACTCAGTGTACCCAAGGTTGCCAAACGGTTTGCAGGCTGGAATGGTTATTGTGTTTTGTAGTTCCTTTAAATTTGTTAGCTCAGTATAACCTTAGTTGTACTGAAATAATAGAGACTGGGAAGTACTACAATTGCTACTGAAGACCTCTAGGCTTCTGCTGAAGGTAGTATTTTTGGAGCAAACATTCATACACTGGGTGGAGAAACATGTAACCTGGGCACACTGGGCAATCTAGAGATAACTTACACATTGCTCTTCCAAGTGCCAGGTGTGTCGAATTGACTTGATTAAGGGCTGACATGGGCGAGGGAAGTTCAGCACCATTACTTATGCAAGATAATTAGTAATGCATATGCTTGGAATACCTGTTAATATGCATCGTAACACAGAAATTTGCTGTTGGCTGCAGCGACAGCCGGAGCCTGGTTTGCTAGTTATATCAGAGATAATGGGATATTAGCAGAAGTACAAATTGTTTTTGTGCTCTTTTTGATGCTTGTCTGTTAAACCACATCAATATGATCCGTTCTACAAGATCTAAACACCTGTTGCTATGTTCAGAATAGAGCAGAGCATGATGGCAGGGGTTTAATAAACAAATACCATGTTTTGTAGGTGCAAATGTCAAAATTGAATCTCCTGATTGTTGTTTTTTTTTTCTACATTTTCTGATCTATTTTTCCTTATCTTTAAGGTATCGCTTGAAGGAGATCGATCCATGGAGACTTTAAATTTGAAAGCTAAACTAGAAAAGCTGGACATATTAGAACAAGAATACTTGAAACTTACCACTATGCAAGTCCTGGCAGAGGTCAGTGAAGCTACCAGCTTTCCCTTGCTAAACTTGCTTTTATTTTTAAAGGAACACTTCAAGCACCATAACCACTGCAGCGTGCTGTGGGGTGGTTGTGTTGCCAGTGCCAGGAGTGCCCTTTCTCCCCCTCCATTGCAAGCAGTCAAACCTTTTTGGAATGGTTTGACTTCTTACCTTAAGTCCACTAGGTGCGCTCCCCGGCTCGACTACGAACAGAAACTCTTCCATTAGCTCTCCTGAGCTAGCTCAGATAGAAAGCTGGACCCACAGTAAGAATTCTTACCATTTCTCTTTACAATTGGGGGTATCATAATCACTACAGCTAGCTGTAGTGGTTATGGGCCTTTGTGAATGTTCCATTAAATATTGTACTATGATACCATGTTTGTAATGGCTTATGATTACTTAACAAGTAATCAAAGCTGTTTTTAAGGTTTGTTGTGTTTTTAGAAAAAACATTACACACTTTTTATCTGAGCAGAATACCTTACACTATAAAGTTACACAGCTGAAAAGAGACTTGTGTCCATCAAGTTCAGCCTTCCTCAAATTAGTTTTTTGCTGTTGATACAAACGAAGGCAAAAAAACCCAGCTTGAAGCACTTCCAATTTTGCAACAAACTAGGAAAAAAATTCCCCCTTGACCCCAGAATGGCAGTCAGATTTATCCTTGGATCAAGTTGATGAGTCATGGATCGCTACACTTACACTTGAGCTGGGAAGCTTTCACATATTTGTAATTTATTTTCAGATCTATCTACCTGTAAAACAATAAAAGCAAAACAAGGATTAGTTAGATTAAAAACAAAAGAAGGAAGGTATGTAGGAGAGGATAAAGGTCTAGCTGACTGCCTCAATTAATATTTTTGTTCGGTATTTACAGATGAAAATGAAGGAAAGGGGCCTCATTTAGGAAAAAGGACAAATTAGTCATTTATCACATGTGAGTTTACAGAGGAAGAGGTTCTATTTCAACTGTCAAAAGTAAAGACAAATAAGTCAATGGGACCTGATGGAATACACCCAAAGTTATTAAAAGAGCTTAGCAGTGTACTAGCAAAACCATTAACAGATTTATTTAACCAATCATTGTTAACAGGAGTAGTCCCAGAAGATTGGAAGTTAGATAATGTTGTGCCCATTCACAAGAAAGGTAGTTGGGAGGAGTCGGGCAACTATAGGCCATTAAGCCTTACTTCAGTAGTGGAGAAAGTAATGGAAACCATGTTAAAGAACAGAATTGCTGAACATCTAAAAACACATGGATTTCAAGATCAGAGACAACATGGGTTTACTTCAGGGAGATCATGCCAAACTAATCTTATTGATTTTTTTTTGATTGGGTAACTAAAATTATAGATCAGGGTGGTGCAGTAGACATTGCTTACATAGATTTCAGTAAGGCTTTTGACACTGTTGCACATAGAAGGCTTATCAATAAACTGCAATCTTTAAGTTTGGATCCCAATATTGTTGAATGGGTAAGGCAGTGGCTGAGTGACAGGCAACAGAGGTTGTAGTCAATGGAGTATATTCGAAGCTTGGTACTGTCACCAGTGGGGTACCTCAGGGATCTGTACTTGGACCCATTCTCTTTAATATTTTTATTAGTGATATTGCAGAAGGTCTTGATGGTAAGGTATGTCTTTTTGCTGATGATACTAAGATATGTAACAGGGTTGATGTTCCAGGAGGGATAAGCCAAATGGCAAATGATTTAGGTAAACTAGAAAAATGGTCAGAGTTGTGGCAACTGACATCTAATGTGGATAAGTGCAAGATAATGCATCTTGGACGTAAAAACCCAAGGGCAGAGTACAGAATATTTGATAGAGTCCTAACCTCAACATCTGAAGAAATGGATTTAGGGGTGATTATTTCTGATGACTTAAAGGTAGGCAGACAATGTAATAGAGCAGCACGAAATGCTAGCAGAATGCTTGGTTGTATAGGGAGAGGTATTAGCAGTAGAAAGAGGGAAGTGCTCATGCCATTGTACAGAACACTGGTGAGACCTCACTTGGAGTATTGTACACAGTACTGGAGACCGTATCTTCAGAAGGATATTGATACCTTAGAGAGGGTTCAGAGAAGGGCTACTAAACTGGTTCATGGATTGCAGGATAAAACTTACCAGGAAAGGTTAAAGGATCTTAACATGTATAGCTTGGAGGAAAGAAAGACGAGACAGGGGGGATATGATAGAAACATTAAAATACATAAAGGGAATCAACACAGTAAATGAGGAGACTATACTTAAAAGAAGAAAAACTACCACAACAAGAGGACATAGTCTTAAATTAGGGGGCAAAGGTTTAAAAACAATATCAGGAAGTATTACATTACTGAGAGGGTAGTGGATACATGGAATAGCCTTCCAGCTGAAGTGGTAGAGGTTAACACAGTAAAGGAGTTTAAGCATGCGTGGGATATGCATAAGGCTATTCTAACTATAAGATAAGGCCAGGGACTTATGAAAGTATTATGAAAATTGGGCAGACTAGATGGGCCAAATGGTTCTTATCTGCCGCCACATTCTATGTTTCTGTCTTTGTTAACTACCATGGGAACAACAGTTCTGACACAATTGGTTTAGTTTAATCTGTTTATGAATTTATGACACAACGATTCCCTTTAAAAGCAAATGTTTGTGAAAACAGTATATGTTTGACAAAACAATAAAAAATAAAAAAGTAATTCTGTAATTAAGTAAGGAGGAAGTAAAGGGGGTGCAGATTGCAACACAATCATGGGTGAATAGTATCAGAAAAGGGCCTGTAAGCAGTGTGAATCAAGAACAATGCAAACATCTGAAGCATTAATGACATCAAGCATTTGAGGATGCAATGGGCGCACATATAACACTTCAATGATTACATTAGAACCGCTAAATTATAGAAGAGGAAGAAAAAAGTGTGAGTTTCCTGGGACAGATAAGGCAGCTTCAGGTTTATGTTGTCACATGCTGCTGAATTTCAGATCTAATCAGCCCTAAAGTTTCTCCAAATAATTCCCCAACAATGACTACTTAAACAATGTTTGTCTGTTTGTATTTATTTTTTATTTAGAGCAAAATTCGTGAAATTGAACAGAGGCTGAGAGAAGAGGAGCATCAACGTAAACTGGTGCAGGAAAAAGCAGTTCAGGTATTCAGATCTCTGACTGTGGAATAGAAACCTGATCCTTCCTTCCCCCTTCTCCCCGCTTCTCCCCTTCCCTCCCTGCTTCCCCCCTTTCCCCTTCCCTCCCTTTCCCCTTTCCCTTTTCCCTCCTTTCTCCCCTTTTTCCTCCCTCCCTTTTCTTCCTTCCTCCTTTCCCCTTTTCCCCTTCTCCTTTCCCCCCTCTCTTCCCTCCCTTTCCCCTTCCCCCTCCCTCCCTTTCCCTCTTCCCTCCTTTCTCCCCTTTCCCCCCTCCCTTTTTCCCTTTCCCCCTTTCCCTTTTCCCTTCCTCCGTTTCCCCGTTTCCTTCCCTTTCCCCCTCCCCTTTCCCTTCCTCGCTTTGACACTTCAACTTTGATAGGCATGTAGAAGTGATCTCTTTTGCATATATTTTTAAATAATTCTTGCTAATAAACTAATAATGGGTGTGGAAAGCTTTGTCTGTTATAAATATATAAACCTTTTTCTGACTCTAACAAATCTCATTCCAAGTTGCCTGACATTGCTGCCTCTATCAGGGGTTTTCACTAAAGCATGAATTGTTAGGAATTTCAAATTTTAGACCAAAATATTTCAAGAACCCTGTATTGAAATGTATGGGAGAGATTGTAACTATTGTTTGTCATTTATATTTTTTTAATCTCTTGAAGCTTCAGACTGGTTTGGAAACGAATCGCATATTGCTTCGCTCCTTAACCCCTCCTTCAAAGCAAATGAAAGTGAAGAAGATTAAGACTGCCCAGCTAGACAAGGTATTTGTCTTTCAATCGTTATGCTCTACTCCTTTGTAGTTTTACGGTAATATAAAAAATATTTTTCTTGACTTGGTAATATCACAATTGAAATACTCTGTTAACTGACGCCATTAGCATCTCTCTCACTGATGTAAAAATTGTTTGTCAATATTGCTATCATACTGCGTACATTAAATATTGCAACAAAGAACAAACTCAATGGAAGAAAAACTAACATCGGACTTGTGTTGGTTGTAGGGTAATTAGGGCATAACCCAACATTGAAAAAATAAAATGTAATAAACAACTTTTTAATTCCATATAAGGTTTAACAAACAGAACAGTGCCAAAAGTGTAAACAAAGTGCAAATAAAGAAAAAGGTAAAATTGGACAGTTTATGGGACACTTAAGTTCAGGTCGCATAACTTGAGCGATAAATCCCAAAAATCTTCGAAAGCATAGGAACAGGCAGCTTGGTAGATAGTATAGTTAATTGTAATAGCTCTAGTTAGAAGCAGTAAACAGAGCTAATATATCTAAATAGCTGGCATTTCTACAACATGCTGCTTCGAGGCCCCTCCGCTATCTGAATGTAACATGTGGAACCAAAGCTAACTCCTAAGAGTAAATGGCAGAGAGTATCAAACAACGAAGAGAATGGGCTCTAGGCATCCACAACCCAAGCAGTGATCTCACCAATTACATGGGTCTTTTCAAAATATGGATAGACACCAGAAGGTGCTCTAAAGGATCACTATAGTGTCAGTAAACAAACTTGTTTTCTTGACACTATATAATCCTCAGGGCCCCCTCCTGCTGTGCTGAAGGGGTTAAAACCCCTTCAGCTACTTACTTTAATCCAGCGCTGGGCTCCCTTGCCGCTGGTCACCTCTCCTCCCACTCAGACGTCAACTCCTGAGTGGAGCGGAATGCGTATGCGTGGATTTTTACATCTGAAGGGTTAAAACCTGGGGGACCTGGCACCCAGACCACTTCATTGAGCTGAAGTGGTCTGGGTGACTATAGTGATCCTTTAATAAAGATCGGCAAATTTTGTTTACAAAGAGTAAATTCCTTTTTCATCATCAATCAATCAAACAATAGTCTCCAAGTGCTGAATCTGTGCGGAGTTTAGGACATTACTAGCCCCATTGGATTATTCACTTAAAAGGGACTTACATATGTTCTTACAAATATTCATTTATCATTACTTATATATGTTAGGCCAGCATGGCTCGACTATGTAGATCTAAATGTGGTAATTACCTAATCAGGTCTTCGCAATTCTACTGTTCATTAAATAGGCCACCAGTGTTACAACATACCCACTCTGCAGTTTGACTTATATAGCATCTAATAGAGCAGATCTTGTATCTAATGAGTTAGCCAAATGAAATCACTGCTCTCTGCTCCATATCTCAAGGCTGTGAAAAGCAATCGTTTTCAATCTAATTGCTTTATGGGTCAGACAGAGAAGTCTAAAATTCACGATGTGGTGGAAACATTTGGACAAGATATTAATCCAGTTTTCCACAGTGTGCAATCTGTAAATGTGCTTTAAAATCAATTGGTGTGTCTGAGAAGGTGCAGTGTCTTGCATTAATTATAAGACAGTGTGGGCAAGTTTGAACTGTCCACTTGCTTTTGGACATAATCTTCCATTACCATCTTAAAGGTCTCCGAATATTATTTTGTTATTAAAATATCAGCAAATTATAATTACAAATGCGCTCTTTATTTAATTTCATTAAAGCTACTTTAAAATCTCACTCTTTGCTGAAGTTAAATCTTATTGTAAGGCTTTATGTAAAGACATGCAGGAGATTTAGACACTTGTAAGGTTAATTTGATTTGCTGCACATTCGCAAAATTTGCATTAAATCCAATGACCCAGTCCAGCTAATGTAAAAATATAATTAAACTACTGCACAGTCTGACTAGCTGCATTTGTGTCTGTGAAGTTCTTTGAAATATGACTGCTGCACACGAAGACTGCCACATGTGCTTACTGTGCAAATAGGTCTATGAGTGAGGGATGTTGTGTATTTAAACAGGAAGATGGTCTAGCAGCTACATAGGTTTGAGTTATTATACTTTGGGACAGGGGACGTCTTTGCTCCATAACCAATAAGCGCTACGGAATCTGTTGGCGCTATATTGATGGCAATAATAATGAAAAGAGCAGAAGTTGTTTTGGTGTTTGGAGTGTTCCATTTAAAGATAATGCTAGGACCGGTTTGTGTAAATTAAAACTAATTAAATAAATTTAGCCTCTATGGTTTAAAGTTCTCCAGAGTTTAACAAGGATGGTGGGATCTGAATTAACTTCGAACACAAAATAAAAGTTGCCCTTATTAACTATTGAGCTCACATTCTGCATATTTAAGCTGAAAAATGGGACATGATTGTATTAATTAACCTAGTTATGTACATACATTACGTCTGCAGTCATTGCTTGTGTTGTAAGGTTTTTCACATGTTCTATAAAGCAGTGTTTCTCGACCTTTTTCGGAGAAGTACCATAAGGTCTTAACCCCTTAAGGACACGACTTCTGGAATAAAAGGGAATCCTGACGGAATATTTCCGTCATGTGTCCTTGAGGGGTTAAAAGAATTCCTAAATACCTCTGCCTCAAGAAAGTAATTTCTATTAATTAAAATGTTAAATGCACCTGTAGTTAATTCCATATTGAAAAACAAGTCTAATTTAAAGGTGGTAAAGAATATTTTTGAAATAAATATGACATAATGTGAATATTGTGTATGTACAGAGGAGTGTACAAGCTATTATTAATCTGTAGTATAAAAGCCACAAAATAAAAATATAATACACATTTAATAGTTGCACACACTGACACACAAGCATGTACACACACAGTTACAGACCGAGGATACTGACACACACACACATTTGCACACAGGACACTGACTCAAACACACTCATTTACACACAGATGGCTCTGACAGACACTTTCACTGATATGACACACACTGACAGACACACACACACTTATAAATTATGATTTTTATTTAAGTTCAACCAGCCTCACTACCTTTGGAAGAGCTGGAGTGGATCTTTTCCCTGGGATCTAGTGTGGCTGATGTCATCTCATGCTCTTCCAGCACTGCTCCCACGCATGATGTTTAGTAATGTTGGGGCCGGAGTGTCGTCATAATCGGCTCCTGGCATGTCCACAGGGTGTGCAAGGGAGCAGTGTTGTAAAGAACGCTGACGTCAGGGCTTCCTCACCTTCCCCATAATTCTCCCCCTTAATTCTCCACTCCAGACACAGCACATTCAGGCAGATTAGGCAGCAGCCATCTACGTATGCAGGTGCCTTCCATCTGTATTTCATGTTTCCTCTTCTGTGAATTTATAATATAAATTGTTTGTAATGTTAACACCATAGAGTGAAAGTGACGCCTTATAGTTAAATGCCTATTAATTTATGTTAATCCTGTTTTCAGATGCCTAGCCATTTAAGCAGTTCTTCTGTACAGCCACACTACAGATTAAGCCTTGGTGATGTACCATTCGTTGCTGGCACGGTAAAGAAGCTCACCTCTGACAAATGGGGAACGTTACCTCCATGTTCTCTGTTATTAAGATTGTTAATGTCTTCCGTTTGTTTGTGCACATTTTCTATTAAATAGGACTGCATCCCAGGTGCATACTGTGACGTTATAATGCAGCTTCTTAGCATGGCCCAAAAGATTTGTGAGACGAATATTGCAGCCCACACACAATGCTAGTCACACACATCCTTATGCAGATCTTTAGGTACTATTTATACAACTATACGATACTTGAAAGAATTCGCTGTGAGGTACGCTTTATTGTACTGGTTACAGAGCAGTTTAGTGCAGTCCCTCAGCTTTTCTGTCACTGCCATAATGCAGAAGTTTTCTGCATTATCTGTATAAAATCCTTTCAGGATTGGACGGCATTGATAACCTACAAGCAGTGGTCTAAGCTGACACTGACTCGCTGTGACATTGATACCTCTGGCAATCGGGAATACCAAAAGTGTTAATGGATCCTGCTAACCCAGACCTATAGTTTGGATGCGCAACCAGAAAAGTGAACCTTCCTTATAAGACTTACTAAGCTGAGAGGGTGGTCTTTTAAAGCTGGTAAGTCCCACATTGCTAACAAACTGAAGCTGTAGTGGTTATGGTGGCTGTATATTTTGTGTCTGCTCTAACTCTGCAATAATTTTTTTGGTCTGTCACTTCCCTCTACTGGTAACAAATGGTAATGCACTGAGAGATTTGCATAGACTTGATTTGCCTGCAATTGTAGTTTAAGTAGAAGTAGAATGCAGCCTTTAACATGGATACAAGTGACTTTATTTGGCTGCTTTAAATCCACCTCTAACGCACTGATATCTTCTTTATAAAGCAAAGAAAAAGGTGCTTTGCATTATTCACTTAGTAGAATATCTCTAGATGAAAGTTTTTTTTTATTTTTTTAACACACCCTCAAGTGAATTCAAATGCCTGTGCTTTCGAGTTGACTTAGGCTAGCTTGCTGTAGGGACACCTAGAGTACCCTGATACCATCCCATAGTTTAATATCAAACTGTTGAACATGTACATTCAGGGCGGACCAAACTTCAGATTAGGGTTTGAGGAGTCAATAACTTTTTTTTTATTAATGAACCAATTTCGATGATATTACATAATATGAATGCTTAACACTGTCTATTTCTATGGGGGGAGAAATGTGATGGATGACCTGATTTGTTTTGCGGTGCCATTTTTTGGACTGTTACATGTGCCTGCATATGCAGCTGTGGGTCAACTAAGAGAGGTGGGGGTGAGGCGGCGGCAACAGCTCTGGAAAGCATAGTTAAAGGGACACTATAGTCACCAGAACAACTACAGCTTATTGAATTTGTTCTGGTGAGTAGAATCCTTACCTTCAGGCTTTTTGCTGTAAACACTGTATTTTCAGAGAAAATGCAGTGTTTACATTACAGCCTAGTGATAACTTCACTGGCCACTCCTTAGCTGTTAGAGATCCTTCCTGGTCATGGCTGCCTAAAATGCATCCAAACATTCAGTATCTCCTCTCTCTGCATGCAGACACTGAACTTTCCTCATAGATATTCATTGATTCAATTCATCTCTATGAGGAGATGCTGATTGACCAGGGCTGTGTTTGAATCATGCTGGCTCTGCCCCAGATCTGCCTCTTTGTCAGTCTCAGCCAATCCTATGGGGAAGCACTGTGATTGGATCAGGCTACCACTTCTGCTGTCAGCAGGCAGTGGGCAGGTCAAAAGGAAACAGGGACAAAACACTGCAGCTTCAGGCTTGAATACAAGTAGGATTTTACTATATTTAGGGAAGCATGAGGGGACCAGGGTGGCTAGATGGTCGTTTTAACCCTATAGGGTCAGGAATACATGTTTGTGTTCCTGACCCTATAGTGCTCCTTTAAGTGAAATGTATTGCTTGTCTGTGCCTCTCCCCCTTCCTTTTCCTGTCAGAGCAGGGCGTTGCCACAGGGACGCCGCTAGCCCAGTTTGAACGGACTGCTTTGTCCCTCTTCCATTCCCCATCAGGTTCTTTGGGATTGAAACCCCTGTTGTTTTGTGTTGGAAACCCCATGTAGGGGTCTGTGCATGTAAAACCATTTGTGACAAAATAAACCGATCTCAGTCAGTGTTGTACCTCCAGAACTGTGTGTCGTCCAGTTACTGGGGGGAAATGGGTCTCTTTATATTTCAAGGTGGTTCCTGAGCGGCTGAAGGAAGGTGTTAGCGGAGGTAAACGGTCCGGTTACCTGGGGTCCGCTACACCCCACAAGCGAGGGATTATTATTAAAAGCAGCCAGCGTCAATAGGAAACTGGGTTCTCCTGCAGGGCTTGTTTACCTCCTAAACTCTGTGAGAGTTTTTGAATCCTTTTTTTGTTATTTAAAGTCTTAACAGAGAGCACTATGGTTCTGTTACTTTCTACCTTTATAGATTGGCAGTACATTTGAGAATATAGGGCCTGCCCTGGTGGTATGATATTACATTGGGACCTTTTGGATATCTGTGCTATAACATACTTTGATTCTTTTTTTTTTTTTTTCTTTCTTATAAACACCATTTATTTTTCCCAAATACAAGGGCATTTTTTAATTTAATAATTTTTATTTTACAGCTTAATGTAGTGGTTCTGGTGCCTATAGCCTGTCCCTGTAGCCTTTTCAATGTAAACGCTGCATTTTCAGAGAAAAGGCAGTGTTTACATTGCTGCCTACTAAGACCTCTAGTGGCTGTCATTCAGACGGCCACTAGAGAGTCCAGTGTCAGTTCTCTGCATGGACGCGCTGAATGTTACCCATACAGAACATGCACTATATCCTCCTAATGCTTTCCTATGGGAATCAAAAAGATTGATGAACTCGGCAATGGAGACGGGACAAGCCACCCAAAAACTGCACATCGTGGGGAAAAAAGGGTGAGTAAAAACACCAATCATGATCGCAGGTACCTAAACAGACACACTCTCTGACAGACATACACGCACACACTACAGAGGCATACACACACACTGGCGGGCGGCCACACACACACTGACAGGGGCGCATACACTCACACACTGACAGGGGCATATACACACACACACTCTGACAGGGGCATATACACGCACACACACACTGACAATGACAGAGGCATAGGCACACAAACACATTGACATACACTTTCTCAAACCCAAATTTACATCACTGTGATGCCGGGGCCGGAATGACGTCCTATTCCGGCACCCGGCATCATTAAACAGCGCGAGGGAGCAGAGAGGAGCTGCTGGAGGATCACTGCTCCCTCGCAAACTGACCGCCTTGATGATCCACTGAGCCGGCCGCCTCCATAAAGCCCATGGCGGCCGGCCACAACGTTCACTTAGCTGGCCACCTCCATGCTCCCATTATTTGCTTATTTAGATAATAAGTTGACAAATCCCAGGCGCCCTGGCAAAATCTTTAGTCGCCATGGCGACGTGGCGCCTGGGATTTGTCGAGCCCTGGTTTAGACTATTCTGCCTGTGAGGTGGGGACTTAGTGTCATTTGCAGTATTTTAAAATGGAGTCGGGTATAGGTAGAGAAAAACAAAGCGATAATAACAAGGGCATACCTATTGAGACGCCAAACTAAAGTAGCTCTTCTCAGCGAGTACCCCGCCCGGCCGTGGCGCTTGCCAGGACTGGGCATGGAAGGGCTGCAACAACTTGTATATAACAAAAAAACAGAAGTGAGAACATAAGTCATAGCGGCATAAGTTGTTGAGAATGCACCGTCCGGCGTGAAAGCTCTAATGTGCGGTCTCAGTCAGGGAGCTGGATCTGTGCGTCCTTCGGATCAGGGGATGAGCGCTGCTGTGGTGGCTGATTCTTTTTTTTAAGTACTGGATCATCAACAGCCTATTCATATTGACTGCAGACAGTTTATTGAATAGCAGGAGTCTATGCATTCCGGCTGATACAATGTTACTAGTGTTTCTGAATACTAAGCTTGAATTTATGAAAAGACATTAAGACACAGGTCTTTTATGAAACACTGTACCTTTTTATACATATGTATTTGCATTCCTATTATTCCACTATTATACTATTGTGTACGGTATATTAGTCGGTTTAATCCATTACCCTTTTTTTTTCTGTGTGTGTGTGGTTTTTTTTTTGTGTGGTTTTTTTTTTTCCAATAACCACTAGCTCCTGATATATTGCAGATTGTTTTTCTGTTTCCATAATTTAGATATAGAACTTTGAATGGTGACTCTTTTCCATGTCAGCTGTGGACGTTGTTTAGTTGGTAACTCCTTTCTCTCTTATAGTAGAAATAAAAAGAATCTTGTTGTTTTTTTCTCTACCTCGGTTTTATTTACTACTATACTTCGTGTGACAGAGCACCGGAGAGCTTGGCTTCCTTATTAACAGGCTCCAAGGCATGCACTATACCTATGTATTACATACCGGTATGTTGTATACTGTGCTATTTATTGTGCTAGATGATTTTATCCACTCTCCAAACACTGACACCTTACTATTATGGATCCAGCAATTTGTTTACCCCTAGCTCACAGTCCTTTCGGTAGGATTAATGCATCCAGATATTCCCAGTGCCTGCAGTTTGTGTGATTAGGAATTATCAATGTAGTAACTGTGTGAGCAGAAACCTGGCGTACTAAAAAATCCATATATCAATGTGGCATTCATACTTTTTCTTCAAGTTCCTGTTTTTTTGTTTAATATAAATCAGAGTGGTTCATGAAATGGAAAGTTGAAGATCAAAGCACAGGATGTAAAATAGATACTCTGACTTTCATATTAAGAGAGTCTCCTAATTTCAGTCGTATCCATTAAAACTGGGATAAATGACCTGTTCATGGTAGGAAGTAGAAAGCAGGACGTTCTGTTTAATGCCATTTTAAATCTACATTTAGCATCCTGTGCTTTGATCAGCCATGGCTCCTTGATTTTAGGTCTTTTATTGTAGCCTGCCCAGTGCGTGCTTTTTATATTTCTCACAAATTGCAGCCTTTTAACATTTGTTTTATTTTGTAAACCTTAAACCTTATGTTTTTTCCATTCTGAAATATTCTAAACTATGTTGATGAACGTTCTCAATCGAACAGTGAACGTGTATATTAATATGGATAATTAGTGTACGTTATAATATAATACAGATAGTATACTGCTTTAGACGATGACTGATAATACTAATTTTCCACGCTACTATTTATTTTGTTCCTGTCTGTACTTTATCCAAAAATGTGAATTTGTTTCTCTTTGAGTAAACGGAACAAAGAAAGTTAAGTAAGACCCAATCTAAGCAGATAATAGTATAATATCCCAACAAGACCCATTACTATACTGCCTTACTATTACTACCCCAGCAAGACCCGTTACTACTATCACTACCCCAGCAAGACCCGTTACTATACTGCCTTACTATCACTACCCCAGCAAGACCCGTTACTATACTGCCTTACTATCACTACCCCAGCAAGACCCGTTACTATACTGCCTTACTATCACTACCCCAGCAAGACCCATTACTATACTGCCTTACTATCACTACCCCAGCAAGACCCATTACTATACTGCCTTACTATCACTACCCCAGCAAGACCCATTACTATATTACCTTACTATCACTACCCCAGCAAGACCCATTACTATATTGCCTTACTATCACAACCCTAGCAAGACCCATTACTATACTGTCTTACTATCACTACTCCAGCAAGACCCATTACTATATTGCCTTACTATTACTACCTCAACAAGACCCATTACTATATTGCCTTACTATCACTACCCCAGCAAGACCCATTACTATATTGCCTTACTATTACTACCCCAGCAAGACCCATTACTATACTGCCTTACTATCACTACCCCAGCAAGACCCATTACTATACTGCCTTACTATCACTACCCCAGCAAGACCCATTACTATACTGCTTACTATCACTACCTCAGCAAGACCCATTACTATATTGCCTTACTATCACTACCTCAACAAGACCCATTACTATATTGCCTTACTATCACTACCCACAACACCCATTACTATACTGTCTTACTATCACTACCCAGCAAGACCCATTACTATATTGCCTTACTATCACTACCCCAGCAAGACCCATTACTATACTGCCTTACTATCACTAGCCCAGCAAGATCCATTACTATACTGTCTTACTATCACTAGCCCAGCAAGACCCATTACTATACTGTCTTACTATCACTAGCCCAGCAACACCCATTACTATACTGTCTTACTATCACTAGCCCAGCAAGACCCATTACTATACTGTCTTACTATCACTAGCCCAGCAACACCCATTACTATACTGTCTTACTATCACTAGCCCAGCAAGACCCATTACTATACTGTCTTACTATCACTAGCCCAGCAAGACCCATTACTATACTGTCTTACTATCACTAGCCCAGCAAGACCCATTACTATACTGTCTTACTATCACTAGCCCAGCAACACCCATTACTATACTGTCTTACTATCACTAGCCCAGCAACACCCATTACTATACTGTCTTACTATCACTAGCCCAGCAAGACCCATTACTATACTGTCTTACTATCACTAGCCCAGCAAGACCCATTACTATACTGCCTTACTATCACTAGCCCAGCAAGATCCATTACTATACTGTCTTACTATCACTAGCCCAGCAAGACCCATTACTATACTGTCTTACTATCACTAGCCCAGCAAGACCCATTACTATACTGTCTTACTATCACTAGCCCAGCAAGACCCATTACTATACTGTCTTACTATCACTAGCCCAGCAAGACCCATTACTATACTGTCTTACTATCACTAGCCCAGCAAGACCCATTACTATACTGTCTTACTATAACTAGCCCAGCAAGACCCATTACCATATTGCCCTTTTATCACCATGCTAACCAGACCCATTACTGTATTGGCTTACTATTGCTACCCAAACAAGACCCATTATCATATTGCATTACTACTACCATGTTTATAAGACCCATTACAATACTACCTTACTTTCGGCATGCAAGCAATAATTCCTGCTAATGTTTGCTACTACTTCCTTCAATAGCTTTGCCAATATCTTTTCTTTTCTTTCTTTTTTTATATATATGGAAAAGCTATAGTATTTGCAATTATGCATACTTGTACAAATATATTGACTTGCACAGTCTGAATCCTGATAAAACTTGTGATTTTTTTTTTTCTTAATAGTCAGAGATTTTTATTGGTTTTCCTTCAGTCTACAGGAAGCAGCCACTCTGTGAGAGCCAACGTCCAGCATGTCTTATCACTGATGAAGCAACACAATAAGGCCCTGTGCAATGAACGAGTACTCTGTGACCAGCCAGACGGTGTAAGGTGGTCCACTGATTCCGTTTCACCTTTAAACTCTTACCAGGAACTTTCAGAAGTTCTGTTCACTTTGGAAGATGAATTTGGACAGATGAGCTTGTGAGTTGTAACATTTGTTTTTCTGTACTAATACGGATTTTTAGTCAAAAGACTATGACTAAAACTAAATTGAAATTTCCTGCTAACATTAACACAGATCCAGATATGTTTCACATTTAGAGAAAGCATATCTATCTATATATAAAATACAAATAACCGCAAATAAATATATAATTACATAAATAACTACATAAGTGTACACGTAGACTTTAAATACATATATATGTATATATATTAAAATTCTATGTGTATATTTAAGTAATATTTTAACATAATTATGTGATTTAATTATTTAAAATTTGATTGACATGCCTGACAACCCAGGTAAAAAGTGCAGAGAATTTGAATTGCAAGCACAATATTTAACCCTGTAACTTTCCAAGACACCATAAAACCTGGACATGGGGGGTACCGTTTTACTCGGGAGACTTCGCTGAACACAAATATTAGTGTTTTAAACTGGTAACTTGTATTACAGCAATGATATTTTTAGTAAAAGTTACTTTTTTGCATTTTTCACACACGAAGGGCACTTTTACTGACAATATTATTGTTACAATATGTTTTACTGTTTTAAAACACTTATTTTTGTGTTCAGTAAAGTCTCCCAAGTATGACAGTAACTCCCCAGTACAGCTTTTAGGGTGTTTTGGAAAGTTAGAGAGTCAAATATAAGGCTTGCATTTAATTTTTTTTACATTGAAATTTGCCAGATTGGTTATGTTGCCTTTGAGAGCGTATGGTAGCCCAGGAATAAGAATTACCTCCATGATGGCATACCATTTACAAAAGTAGACAACCCAAGGTATTGCAAATGGGGTATTGTCAGTCATTTTTAGTAGCCACTTAAACACAATTGAAAGATACATAATGCTATGTGCAACTATCTCATGGAAGTCATTATGTCTGAGGATTGTTTTGCATGGTAGTCCAATGGCAATGAGACTTTTACAGTAGTGTGTGCTCTGTGCTGTAGACTTTGTTCACATATTATGGTCTCAACTTAGCATTTTTGTATGCGGTTTTCTAATTATTTTATGTTTTGAAGAACATTTTTATATTCTGAAACATTGATATATTTTCGTATATATAATTTAGATATTTTCATATTTTGAAAATAACCCAAAACATTTAAAAAAGTGAATGCAAACATGTTAAATAATTTGCAAAAGCTTATCCAACAATATTAAATAGAGGCCAAGGTTCCCATATTTCAAGATAATGCCCGATACACACTGCTAAACAAATTCAGCTACCAGTTCGACACAGGATTACACTCTGCACTCCAGAATGTCTCATAAAGGTTTAGACTCTTTCCACCTCTACCATTTCTTAGAATAAAAATGGAGACTTTTGTTCATGAAGATTCCCTCTACACATACTTTTTAAAGAAAATCTGGCTGAGCTTCCATTTTGGGTCGCACCGTACTGTAATCTGACCAGATTTCTCTGTATGAACTTGCAGCAGGCGACATTGGGTTGAACAGCAAATGGTCAGATAACCGTAGAGTCTGACTCAAGATGGCTGCTCAGCCAGAGTGACATTTAAAAAAAAAATTATTAAAGGAACACTACAAGCACTATAACCATTTCATCTCATTCAACTATTTATAGGTTGTTTTTTTTTTGTGTGCAGTTTAACACTGAATAATGGTCTCTGGCCCCTAATGGAGGTGTTGCTAAAACAGAAATTGCACACTTTCTTCTTGTCCTACCTCTTCATATGAGCAATGGCTGGTTTGATAGGCTGAAAGCAATTAACAGACACCCAATCCATGCAACATTAAAACTTAAAAAAATAGTTTAACACTAAATGAAAGAATGGCACTACATCACTATAACCACTTCAATCAGATGAAGCAGTTACAGTGCCTACAGTGTCCCTTTAAGATTCATTAAATGTAATGAACATTTTTTTAAATTTTTTTAAATGAGAGGTGAAAATTTGGTAACAGTTGCCCTTTAATATTTATATATTGCTAGGTGTTTCATTTATTTTGTCCACTGCACTCTAAACTTTTTTTATTTTCTCACACATTGAGTACCAAACCAACATTGCGCTGCCCTATAAAGCAATGTAAAAAAAATAATCATATTGTGAAATAAACATTTCTGGAAAAGAATTTGAATGCACCCTTTAGTTTAGTTCCAAGCATAGTTAGAGAAACATCTTTCGGTTCATATAATAAATACATGGCTTTTGTGTCTTGACTAGTGACCACCAAGAACTGGTGAAGCAGATCCAGGAGGCACGATCTGACCGACTTAAGGAAGACTTGGAAATTGAACTAGAGGCCTTGGTGAGGAAAATGGAAGCAAAGGCAGATCAAATAACCAAAGTAAGCAATCCTGAAACAAGCATGGGTCATGGGGATACTTCCCAGTGACTTACAGACCTGGCAAAGTATTGATGTGAACAGCCACTTCCCGGGATTTATAATCCTGTGTGCATCACCCCCAAAACATGGCTTGCACCATTCCAGCTTAACAAACTCCGGTTATTGTAGGTTGTAGCAGCACTTGTACCTTATTCACTTATGTTGTAAAACTGGCTTTATTTCGCCATGATTAAAACATATTACATTATTCAGCACGGCATGTTGGCCACAGATGTGCCTCTTTAACCTATACCCAAACAATTTATAAATGTTGCCTTTTGTTAAAGGCTGTTTTTATTCTTTCACAAATGACCTCTGACATTGGCAGAGAGGTAAAAATACAACCGATGTTTCTGAACTGCATTTCTTAAAATATTTGTGCAGCCTTAGCCTGGTTATGCATCGTGGAAAAAGTAGGCACATCTGGGGTAGCAATGCTGTATGCCAGTGGAAGGCAACCTTCAGCACTCCAGATGTTGTGGAATACATCAGCCATGATGCTTTGCCAGCATTATGAGAAATCTAGTTCACCACATCTAGAGTGCCTACCCGTCCTTTAGGCATTCAAGGGAAGTACTAGCGGCTATCCTGTGCATGTGGAATTGTTTTTATTGATTTTAGTTAAAATTAAGTGGGTTTTTTTTTTTTGGTGATGTTACCACTTCCACAGGCCTTTCCAGTCTCATAACATAAATTTACAGTAAGTTAGGTTTGCACTTCTTTAATTTTTACTGAATTGGTACTCAAAGTACATGGTAGATCCGTATATCTGAATATGTACCTGTACATTTCGTGACAGCTGAGATATGCAAATGTAGAAATAACAGGCAATTTGTTTATCAATATGATACAATCCTTCAACATCAGAAAAGGTTTCATATTATACATTCTTTATATACTTCAAAGTAATGGTGCGATTGTGCATATTACAAAAACGAAATAATTTTATTTATACATTATTCCATATTTAATATTTGTGTCCCGTCTGTTTCTGTTACAGCTTAAAAGGTTGGTAAGAGAATCAAGGGCCCGAAAGAAAGTAACCTATGAATCCTCAAAGAAAGACTCAAAACCTGTAAAAACAGGAAAGAAAACTAATGCGACAGTGGCAGGACCACAAAAAATCAATCCTGGAGAAAAAAGCAGGAAAAGCCTCCAGTTATTAAGGGATATGCAGACGCTACAGGCGTCACTTCGGAAAGAGGACATCCAATGGGACTGCTGAATGTGACGCAAACATCAAATATCTCAGGGAAAACTATTTATTCATCTTCCTCTCCACTGACTGCTCAGCTCTTTTTATACACGTTGCCTTGACTTTTGTGTTTTTTAAATAAAATTTTATTTTGTTCTACATTAAATATAAATTGGAATACAAGGCTGCACATGCTGTCTCAAAAATGACTCCGTCTGCAATAAGTAAGAATAAAAAATCAAAGCTTTGACATACCATGACCGGTTCAGGTAAGTATATTAAATTCTATTCTACAAAATGTAAAAAAAAAATTATCAGTAAATACACAGATTTAATGTTATACAGACTTCTGCAACCGCACTATACAGGTTTAAGATAAAATCTTCATTTAGAAATAAAAATGTACTCTACAAAAAGGATTGCCAGTACTTTGGCCGAAACAATGACCGGAATATTTGATTGTGAATTTGTGTCTACAACAGCAGAATTGGAAAATAAATCAGTCTTTTTGTTTAGCTAAAAAAAAAAATTGTCTTTGAATAACTGACAATTTGCACTTTATTGAATAACCATGTGTAATTAAAAAAAGTAAAAGTCCCTCAACATATATGCATTTTGCTGACATGTCAGGAATGTCCCATGATGCTATGGACCACAGCTTTGGTTCTGTCTTCTGACTGCAGTAATGTAAAACTTAAAGGGATCCTATAGTGCCAGGAAAACAAACACGTTTTCCTGGCACTATATGATTTATAGGTCCCCACCTCCCGCGGGGCTGACCCCTTCAGTCACTTACCTGAATCCAGTGCAGATGTCCCTCGGCGCTGGGCCAGGCTTCGCCCACGCTCCTCCCCTGCCTATGGGGAAAAATCTGACGCTGGAGGACAGTGAGGACGTCCAATGTCAGATAACGGACCAAAAGTCAGATTTGGATTCCGGAAGCGCCCCCAGTGGCTGGCTGGTAGACAGCCACTGGCGGCAGACTTAGTGCTGCAATGTTAAACTAAGTGCAAAATGGTCACAGCGCCCAGACCACTTCAATGAGCTGAAGTGGTCTGGGTGCCTACAGTGTCCCTTTAATAAGGAATGTCATAAGGCAAAGCTAAGCTTCTATGTGTACGTACAAGTACTTGAACAAGTGTGGTCATATATCCTTATATTATGTACAGATATAAGAATTTACATTATATGTATAGTAGCATGAAGGCTGCAGCACCCAGTACGAGTCCATGCAACTTACTGTAAAGTATGTTTTGTCTGCTTTCTCCTCTCCCTTTTATGCACAGCATATCAAGGAACGTCCCCACCCCACTGTAGTCTCTCTCAAATTATTTTAAGCATATACCGAGTTCTTTAATGTGTGTCAGCTGTATTTTTACAACAGAGGACGTCAATGTGACCATGAGCATGCAGACACACAGTACAAAGAACAATGACTCTTTGATCCAATTTGCATTGTGCTCGTTTTATGAAAAGATTTGACTTTGACTTCTGTTTTCTTTTGACATGGTTATTCATTAAACTGGTAACGGACTAAGTCATTGTTAATTTTAGGATAATATTGAGAAATCTCAATGTATCTTTCCTGGTAAAATATTTTATAAATAATATTTAAACAGTGTCTAGTTGCACTTTTTTAGCCTAAAGTGTAATTTCCCAGGTCATTTCATATCAATTCCCAGTTTGATGAATAACCTTGTTTGTGTACTCTGTGAGCTCTCAGTAAAGTGTTCTCCACTTAAACATGTAACTACTACACTGTAGAAAGCCTTACATACTGCTGTATGTTCCAAATGCTCTAAAAAGAGTGGTGTCTATTTTGGTTTTATTTTCAGTTAAGTTTTGCATCGGACAGATCAGGTTGATAAATCCTTTTTTGTATTATGTCTATAATTTAATGTATTTTTCTGGAACACAACCTTGTCAGTTTGAGGACCATTTGTGTAAATATAAGTAAAAGCTGTTTTATAGAGACAGTGTTTACATTACAGTCTAGGGATACCTCCACTGGCCACTCATCAGGTGGCTATTAGAGGTGCTTCCTGGAGCATTGCTGCACAGTATGTAGCACTGACATTGTGTCTCTACCCTCTGCATGGAGACACTGAACTTTCCTCATAGATTTGCATTGAGTCAATCTCTGAGGAGATGCTGGTTGGCCAGTGATGTGTTTGGCTTGTGCTGGCTCTGCCCCGATCTGCCTCCTTGATAAACTCAGCCAATCCAATGCTTTCCTATGTGAAAGCATTGTAATTGGCTCAGAACACCATTTCTGATGTCAGTTAAGCAGGCAGATCAGAGGCAGAGCCAGCAGCAGACTGGAATAAAAGTAAGATTTAGCTTTATTTAGGGTGGCTAGATGGTGTTTTAACACTATACGGTCAGAAATACAGGTTTGTGTTCCTGACCATATAGTTTTTCTTTAATTATTTTAATCTCCTGTACGATGGTGCTTATTCCATGAGGAACATTTATTTATACTTAACAGACAAGCAAGTGGCTGACAATATTTAATGGTGAAATTTGATTTATAGTAATAGGTTTGTATGCAGTAGGAATGTGTTGTGATATTATTTTCTCGCTTTGTAATGTTATTCGGATTTTAAGTATGACATATCAATATTGATTTAAGTTAAAACTTACAAAGAATGTAATTCCCTTAAAATGTAATGTATGTGCCTTGGGAGTGCACCATGTCAGTGATTCTGCTTCACCAACATAAAGAATGAATTGTGACCAGGTATAGCACCCTTTAGAACTGCACAAGAGCCTGGACCATTCTTAGTGTTTGAGGTATGAAATCCTATTGAAACCTACTGATTTTCAAGATTCTACCTAATGAACAAGCATGGCTCCCAAAACATAAGCCACTTATTGATCCTTTTGGGTCTGACTGTTTAAAAACCTGTCTTAAATAAACTTTTAATTTATTTTATTCTACGTGGAATGTTTGGCTTGTGTGTGCTTTTAATTATCGGGACACTTTCATTGTAAAAATTGTAGATTTGTTTAAAGGTTATATATGCTGAACCCCACAACCAGAACTCTGTAAAGGTATAGAATCCAGGTAGGTCTGAATCCAAAAGGTAAATGTAGAACAATAACGGAAGGTCTGAACTCGTGTACCTCTAGTGTTTTTATTAAAAGAACATTATGGTTACAATATAGTCACCATGAAATGAAAATAGACTGCTAGTAACTCCGGTTAGTCTTTATTTAATTAAGGCTGACTTACAGTACAGTTCAGAGGTTATACAATACAAAATACATACACAGTATTTAAATAAATTATGTTTTTTGAAGAACATTTCAGTTTTAATTTTTTTTTAAATATTAAAACAATTCAGAAAAAATCCTTTCATATGTGCTTTGACATTTATTTAATTGCATAGTCATAGTGTTATAATATTTTAGTTGGCAAATATATCACACAAAAATGTATTTACCCAAGTGGTTATGAAAATGGGAGAATCCTTGGAGCGATAATAAATGGATATTGACACCAAATGCTGAAGATCTCACTCAGACAATGCACTGTTAACCCCTTAAGGACCAAACTTCTGGAATAAAAGGGAATCATATGTCACATGTCATGCGTCCTTAAAGGGACACTATAGTCACCTGAACAACTTTAGCTTAATGAAGCAGTTTTGGTGTATAGAACATGCCCCTGCAGCCTCACTGCTCAATCCTCTGCCATTTAGGAGTTAAATCCCTTTGTTTATTAACCCTAGTCACACCTCCCTGCATGTGACTTGCACAGCCTTCCATAAACACTTCCTGTAAAGAGAGCCCTATTTAGGCTTTCTTTATTGCAAGTTCTGTTTAATTAAGATTTTCTTATCCCCTGCTATGTTAATAGCTTGCTAGACCCTGCAAGAGCCTCCTGTATGTGATTAAAGTTCAATTTAGAGATTAAGATACAATTATTTAAGGTAAATTACATCTGTTTGAAAGTGAAACCAGTTTTTATTTCATGCAGGCTCTGTCAATCATAGCTAGGGGAGGTGTGACTAGGGCTGCATTAACAGAAACAAAGTGATTTAACTCTTAAATGACAGTGAATTGAGCAGTGAAATTGCAGGGGAATGATCTATACACTAAAACTACTTTATTTAGCTAAAGTAATTTAGGTGACTATAGTGTTCCTTTAAGGGGTTAAAGGGTTTCTCCAACCCATTTTGTATGATATGGAATAATGCCTTACCGTTTTATTCTATACGTGCCCTTGCCCCGTCACACATTTAAAAATATCACATACATACTCCTACCACCATGACTACTTGTAAGTTTGGCAGTGATTGGCCTATCACTGCCCACTACTTCTGGTATGACAAAGCAGAGCACAGCTCCGCCTTTACAATTTTTTAACCAGAGCCTGGCATGCAGGAGACTGAGAATCTCAACTAAATGGTGAGTAAACTATTTAACAGCGATACTGCACCAACAGACCCCAGCTACCATAACAATTTCAATTGGTTATAGTTATTATGGTGTCTTTAAAGATTTAGTAAATCACATCAAAATCCAGTGCAAATGAAGAGATGAATTAAAAATATTAGCTCATGTTTCCTCTTCTCTGGATAAAGGAGTTTCAACATTTAATTTTATGTTTCATACATCACAAAATACATGTTTGTTAAATATAGGGATAGGTAAACATAACATTCAACAGCCTAGTAGTGACAGTTACCTTTTTAATGTTAATTTTAAAACTAGTGTTTTTATATGCCATTTATTTTGGTCCACCATCCGATGCATAGGATTTTGTTGTGTAGGTAAATAAAGTTAGGATAACAGAATTGCTCAGAATGCATGGGTAGGCAACCTTTGGTACTCCAGATATTGTGGACTGCATCGCCCATAATTCTCTTGCAGCCAAAATGCTGGCAAAGCATCATGGTAGATGAAGTCCACAACATCTTGAGTGCCAATATTTGCCTTTCCCTACCTCAGAGAATTGTGAATCTCCCAAGCATGAACAAAGTGCACTCAAGATGCTACCAACACAATCTGCCTTTTCAATGCTAAATTGGGATAAATAAATAAAACCGAATCACAGGCAAAGCAGTTGTACCATACTTTTATTGTATGTCCACTGTCTGAATACTCCTCTAAAAAGAGGACAGGGGGAGTACGTGCCTTTCAAAAATAATAAAACAAAAGCAGGAGGATCCCCTCTTTAACAAATTAATCAACAAGTCAGTACTTATAGACTATATAGCCTTCTAGACATTATATATAGCTCAAGCAATGTGTCTGATTTGCAATGTACAACATTTTCAGTATGTACTTTGCAAAATAGACAATGTATATTTTTTTTTATATACATGTACAACATTTTCAGTATGTACTTTGTTTGGGGGGGGGGAGGGGGAGGAGTCATATGATTGGCTCAATAAGGTGCGGCTTACCATTCAGCATAGCCAATCAGAGCCAAGGCTTTCCCTTTAACACTTTGTCATTGGCCAAGAAATTAGTGTTTTGACAACTGTTTGACACAGTTTCAAGGAAAGCATTGCATTAGCCTGCAAATATGTTCCACTTCATTATTGTTGACAAATTTCTACACTGTAATACTGCTCATTTCCATGAGGACGCACATGTAATTAGTAGCCTAGGGATGAATACAAAAGTAGTTTAAACAATAAAGGCACCATGGATCATTAAGTATTAGAGATTATCTTCATTTAATTATAGAAGCCTGAGTATAGGTTAAGATATAAAAATAAATAACATTTTAAATATACAAAACTCAGCTTCTTAAAATCCAAAGTGAATATATTCTTTGGCCAAGGATACTCACCCAAAAGACTTGATGCCTGGATTGCACATGAATAAACAATGTCCCACTTGCTCAGTAAATAATAGTGTAATGCGAGTGCTCCTGCTGGTACAGTGATTATGTAAAACACGTTCAAGTAATCCGACTCAGGAATAAATGCGCTGGATGAAATTCTGAACCGTATCATTCATAATGTTAGCGGAAGAGGAATTCTTAAAGGAGATTTAATTTAAATATTTATGACAAGCTAGAATCTGACTGACTTATTTTAAATGAGAGCAACAGATTCAATCAGACTGACTTTAAATTGGTGTCTATCTCTGCTAACCATAAATATCAAAAGACTCTAGGCGGAACAAAAAAATGTGAATGCTGTAAGCTCATTCAAATCATTAAGAAATGTCATGTAAAAGCTGCTTGCTTTTTCATTATAAAGCTTATCTTCAGATGACTACAAGTAAATGTCAAATGTTAAAGTCCCTGAAGTGTTTAATGTAGAAGGATGTTCATCAGCATATGGTTGCCATATCTACATATCTTTCAAGATGTATATCATCCGATAGATGGCACATGAAAAGAGATGCTCTGGAATATGTAGCATTCAATGCTGCAGCATTAAAGTCACACTCCACACTCCTAAAGCTCTTTAGCTTGATGAAGTACTTCATCTTTGAGGACTGTGTCATCTTTTTTCACTGTACAAAAGTGCAGAAATTGGCACATTTATGCATTAACCTTGTTGCCCTCCCCCTTAGCTGTCAATCAGACAATTAGTCCTGTTACTTCCTGGTTGTTTATCTCAGTGGCAGCATTTTCTCAGAGCAACAGCCTTGACCTTTCATTAAGCTGCATTGGAAAGTGTCTGATTGGACAGCCACAGAAAGTCTGGGCGGGGTTAGAAGGGGAGGGCTTGCAAAGTCAACAGCCAAGAGCTCCGCAGCTTTAGCTTAATTAGGCTATATCTACTAAACAGTGATGGGTTTGTTTTTTCAATTTGGGCAGTGGAGTGTCTGTTTAACTAATCAATGTAATTTATTGGGATTCCTGCTTACTTTCACATTAATTATACTACACAGCAGACGTTTACATGTATGCCCCTCCAGCCTAAAGTGATGTATGTCCAGGAACACATGGGGGCTGCTCTGACAACTGTACATAAATATTTAGTGGGCACTACAAAATTATTACACTGAGTATTTCAACTTCAGGAAGCAAGTTGAGGATGGAGGTGGGGGCTAGAATCACTCTGAGGGGTACATATTACCCATCACATAGAAACCCTGGTTTTAGTAAAGGCCACCAGTAGTCAATTGCACAAAGAAGAAAGTTTTTGAATTTAAAGTCTGTTTGCTTTGATATCCAGTCATAACTAGTGCTGCTCTGATAATTAGTGCTTTTTAATTTCTATAAATTATAGAATTGCATAGTAACAAACAACAATGTACAATATTTTGCATTGCTACATCTCGATGACTAATCTGATCCAGGCAAAGTTTACCCAATACACTCAGCACTAATTCTGGAAACTGGTGACTGAACAAGCTCAATTTCTGGTCAGTTTCACCAGAATGGCTGCCTGTATCTTTGTTGGACACAGATACATAAAATATTATTATTTTTTTCCCCTAGAAATAAAGCAACAAAGGATTTCATAGTGGAACTGTGAAAATGTAAAGGCATTGTGGACACTTAGACAACAGTCTGCACAGGGGCGATGGACTGCGGAGAGCTACCCCTGTCTGATGAAGAAGTAGACCGATTGCTAATCTCTCTCTGAAGTTCTTCCAATTTTTTCTGGAGCTCAGCACGCTTTGCCAGTAGATCTTTACAGCGGTTGTTGAAGGCATCCTGAAAATATAACAGACACATTTATTGTATGTGTTTACTTCCTATTATTTTTATATAGCCTCTACTGCCCTCAAAGTGTCGAATCCCACAATGTCTAGCATGTGAATGCAAGGTATTTTGGGATCCCACACACAATATTTAGGATGAGGTGGTCCTCACGATAGAAAGTGCATTTAAAAAAAAAAAAAAAAATGCACAACTTCAACCCATACCCAAAATAAAACATCACAGAATAAATGTACAGTGTTTAAAAAAAATAACACGATATACGTTGTAGCTGAAGTGCTAATGTCAAGGCATGAGACATACACATGCACCCACCTCACACGAATATAACTTAAATGCTATTGTCTGCCAAGTACCCTGTGATTTTTGTATGATTGTCGCTCTATCAGATATAAAAAGCTCTAAAAATTTTATTTTACTCGGCTCTACCCACCCACCCTGGTTCCTTCTTACTATATAGCATGCTCTTCCAGCTGTTTGGAACCATAGCCAAATCACCTCCGCATTCCCTTCACATGCTATCAGCTGCTGCAGTTATACTATTTACTCTCTCTGCTATCACATACAATTCCCTCTGCTACCTCTTGTCTCATCTCCCCAGTTTAACCTTTAGATTGAAAGCTCACAGATACCGGTTGTATCAGTCTGTTCTTATTGTGTTTGTCTTTTTTCCAATTGTACAGCGCTACGGAATTTGTTGGCACTTTATAAATGCCAGTAATAATAATAATAATAATAATAATAATAATAATAGAGTACCGGTGGCTTTGTTCCTGGGTTCCACCGTATGTAGTATCCAGCCCACAGCTCCAGGTGTCTCGTGCTGGCCACCGGGTACAAGACATGATTAGAGTAGTTCACATACAGCGGATTGGTAAAATCTTCAAGTTGGCTGTTAATGAAAGACCACAGGGACACTGACTCTTGCTGGAGACCCTAAATACAAAAAAACAAAACAAAAAAAAAACACCCTTGGATCACAACAAGACAGTGTCTTTCACAATATCACACAGTAAAAGTGCTTGAATGTCATCAATAAAATGTTTCCAGAGGACCAGCTTTGCAACCCAGCCATGCCCCCTCCACATGAAGTTGGCTTCCCAATCTCTCATGTATATGTTGGCATAGCTGGGGACAAACCTAGTCCCCATGGCTGTGCCTGTTTGCTGTAGGCAAAAAATATCATCACATAAATAAGTGTGATGTAAAATTATACATATACTATCCAATAAAAAAAAATCTCTTAAAGTGTTTGGATCAGAAGCAGAATTCATAAAAATATAAAACGTCAAGAAAAAAAAAAAGTTTATCGTACTGAAATAAAAATAGCTGCTTTATCAGGCATCTCTTATTACATTCATTTAGCAAGTCAAACAAAAATAAAATTAAATATGGAAATCCATGAAAAGAGGGAATATGATATGCACAGGCAGAAAAGGGATTAAAGAAGAAGGGTATCATGAAAGAGAGCAGGAAACAAGAAAAAGTAATAAAGCTACATTAGGGGGTACATAAACCATTAGGACCACGCAGTCTTCAACCCCACAAAAAAAAAAAAAAAAAAAGAGAGAGAAAGAAAGAAAGAATATTGTAAGTGTCAAAAACCTTTGGCCTATGACGTAATGATAGATGTTTTTGTACTACATATTCTTATGATTCTCATGATCATTAATCCAGTCAGTGAACATAATGGATGGGATAGCTATGCAATCTATGAGAGATGAGTAAGGGGTGCTACTCTGAAAATCAGAGTCACAAGGACCATCAGCATAAGCTGTTAAACAGCATGCTTTTGAAGATTACCAATATCTTAAGATGCCTTCTTTTGAAACTTCTCAAATTTTCAAGATGTAAGATTCATCGTGACACCATAGCTCCAAAATTACAAATAATCAACACTCTAGAGACTTTTGCCAATGCTGATATTCTTTGACTGCCATATGCTTGCATTGTTAATTTGTGTACCATGTTATTGCCATATCAGTCTCCCATATAAATATATACCAAGGTCTGAACATTTCTAAACAAAGTAACATACCAAGTGCTTGATTAAACGTTTTACCATTTAATATTTACAATTTAAAACATAACGGAGTTCACCTTTTTGGGGGTAACAATATCACAGGATAACCTACAATGAAATACTCCAAGTAAAAGAAAAAAAATTATAATAATGTGAGAGCACATATACTGGCAAAACGTCACAGTCATTAAAGCTCAATGATCCTACCTCTATTATCTTCTCCTGTTCGCTGTTACAGAGAAAGGTTCCAAACAGACAGCTGTAGAGGTGATCCAAAATCGTTATAAGAAAATGTTCATTGAATTCAAAGGCATTCGGGAACTGAAGAGAAAACCGAAAAGTAATTTATTTAATTTTTTTTTAAGTGAAACAATCCACTTATAAGAAGAAAGAAAAAAAACGTTGATTTGCTTTTTCCAAATATTTATTAAATTTTGTTTATTCTTTAACCATTTAAAGACCAACGTTATTTTTAGCTAACATCCCAGTCTGGTCTTTATAGGCCCAATGTCAGCACGGAATGCACTGCCTATCGAACACTAGCAGCTCTATACGATCTGCTGTAATTAAATGAGGGCATTCTATTTTCTGATAGGTTCACTATCGAGCAAATTTTGTCTGAAAAAAACAGCAATTTTGTGTACTTTTTGGTAACTTATTTCAGGACTACCTTCCATGTCTTTTTAAAACTGCAATTAGGGTTTTACCCACCATTGTCATGCAACTTTAATTATAAGCTTGTTCATCATTAGTTTGTTTTATACCAACCATACCCCTTATTCTATGCTTACACCAACCATATACTTACCCTAACCTTAAAGTGATACTATAGGCACCCAGACCACTTCAGCTGATTGAAGTGGTCTGGGTGTAATGTCCCAATTCCTCTAGAAAAACTGTAATAATTGCATTGCAGGGTTAAGATTGCCTGGAGTGGCTGTCTCATGGATTAGAGGCACTTCATGCTTGCCCAGTGACTTTTGGTCATACTCTGCATGAGGACATCCAACGTCAGTAAAATCTCCAAGGGAGATCGGCGCTGGAATCGGGTGAGTACACAATGGTTCTGTGTTGGTGGGGAAAGGGGCAACCAGAGGGAACTACAGTGTAAGGAATACAGCTTTGTGTTTCTTACACTAAAGAATCCCTTTAACCATAAACTAACCCTAAAACTTCATTAACCCAAACCCACAAACCCACCAACTTTCCCTATGGAAACAAGCTGCAAATATCAGTACTGAGATCAGCAAATGGGTTTCCTAGTTTCCACCATCTACTGTCTATTTTTTATTTTATTTTTTAATTCTTTGTTTTTGTGCACAGGATAAAAGCAACATTACATGGGCTTAGCCAGCCCCAGCATTATAGACATACAATTTAACAATGGCTTTTCAATTGGGCATATGAAGCATGAGAGCATCAGTGCACATTTTTGTCCTGACTAGATGCCTAGTATCAAAGCTGGATTAGAGGTGTTTTACAGTAGTCGCTGGGAAGTAAGGCCCTGCAGGGGAGTTGGTTGGTATCAAAGCTGGATTAGAGGTGTTTTACAGTAGTCGCTGGGAAGTAAGGCCCTGCAGGGGAGTTGGTTGGTGTCGAGTGGAGACTACCCAGGTCAGGATAAAAAGTTTTGAGTCAGCATTTTGTAAATCCTGGGGTGAGTGTCTCCGCTATGAACTGTGGCATCCTAATCCAAAGCTCCGCCCTTCCCGTTGAAATATATCCGTGTTTCATATCATCTCATCTATGTCAGGACTTAATATGTGTTCAATGTGTGAGTAAGTGGAGCCCCATAGGAGAGGGCCTGAAAGAAGAGAGAGGGAAGAGAGAAGAGTGATAGGATTAGTGGGAGAGGTGGGGGGGGGGGGGGGAGGAGGAGCCTAATAGGCCAGAGGACTGCTGTCCCACGGTTTCCATGTTTTGTGGAATGCATTAGTAGTACCCCGCACCATCTGCCGAGTCTCTGATTCTGTTTTAGCCGTGTGTGCCATAGCACGTCGTGCTGCTAAAGTGATTTTATGCAGTAACCTTTGTTCCTGTCTGGTCCACCCCTCTAGTTCTCTATTCAGGAGGTATACTCATGGATCTAGCTCTGGTGCTCTGGAGAATACCTGCGCCAAGAGTGCCTTTATAGCCCTCCAGAATGTGTGGACTTGCGGACATCCCCACCACATGTGTAAATAGGTCCCTTTCTCCCCACAGCCCCTCCAGCACACGTCCGTTGTGGATTTGCGCATGTAGTATAGTTTGACTGGGGTCGTGTACCATCAGAACATCGTCTTAAACGACTGTTCCTGTTGGCTGACGCATAAGATGTCATGCTGTTAGCTTCCCAGATTTCCTGCCATTCCACTCCCTCCAACTTTTTGCCCAAGTCTTTTTCCCACTGGTCAGTGTAGAGGAGACCACCCGACTAACCTGTCTCAGAGTAAAAGTGAGTGTATAGTGTAGTGATCAGACCTCTTGGGGTTATGTCGGATGTGCATATGCGTTCAAAGAACATCATTGGCTTTTTCGCGGCTTCTTTTATGCGTGATTGTCTATCAAAATCTCTAACCTGCAGGTATCTAAAGTAATTGGCTGGTGTGAAATGATGTCCTTGTTTAAGCTCGTCAATTGGGGTTAGTTCCTCCCCTTGGCATATCTGGTATAACCTCTGTATTCCTGCCCTTTCTAGGTTTCTGAAATCTCATGCTGCCATACCTGGACTAAAAGCTCTATTGCGTAACACGGGTGTGGGGGGGAGGGGGAAGTTGTGAGGCTATATTTCAGCCCATAGGAGTCCCACAGTCTGATAGAGTTTAGAATCGCGGGGCAGGTAGCTCGGGCTATAGGTCTATCTTCCCTAGGGACCCATATTATGAATTGGGGTAGGTCTGCACCCATCATAATCGATTCTATTTCCACCCATTTTCTCTCGTCTGGAGGGGGAATGCCACATCGCGACCTGTGCTATTTGTGCCGCTAGGTAGAAGAAAAGGTTGGGGAGGCCTAGTCCAATTCATCATCTGTTGTATGGGTGCAAGTTGAGCTTTAGTAAGTGGGACTGGTAGTGCTTGAAATAAGAATAGAATTCTCAGCATGATATTAATTTTAACCGAGTGGATCCACCCTATCCAGGATAGGGCTTATCAAGTCACTGATCCATATCTCGGTTTAGTGTTTTCCACAGGGGAAACATCTATGCATTTGTATAGAGATTCCGGATCCGCAGTGAGGTGTATCCCCAAATACTTTAGGGAGGTCCGCTCTATATGTATATCGTGTGTGTTGTGTATTGTTGCAATGTCGGTCGCCGTCATATCTATTGGTAGTGCGTTTGATTTGGACATATTCGCTTTATACCCTGATATATCCCCATATGTGGCGAGGATCCCTCTGAGGGCTTCCATAGATTCCACGGGCCTCCTGAACGTCAAGAGCACATCGTCCGCATATGTCGCCACTACGAAGTCTCATCCCCCCGTGTATGTTAGGATGCTGCCTGATCGCCTGTAATAGGGATTCTGGTGCCAGTACAAACAGTAAAGGGCACATTCGGCATCCCTGTCTAGTGCCGTTATGTAATTGGAAGGGTGTCGGAGGGGCGCCTGTAATCTGCACTTGTGCCCGTACATTTCTGTACATAGCCGTTACCGTCGCGACGGGTGAATAGGTATGGCCACTTCACTCTATCAAATGCCTTCTCGACGTCTATAGAGACGATCAATGTTGGCGTATGAGTGGTCACTTGTTTCCATAGGAGGTTCATGTTTCTACGTGTGTTCTCGAAGAGTTGGCTCCCCGGTATGAACCCTACTTGATCTGAGACTATTAGGGACTTTAGGTATGGGTTGAGCCTATCCGCCTGAATTTTAGCTAGTATCTTCATGTCCTGATTTATCAGTGAGATAGGCCTGTAACTCCCAGGCAGTAGGGGGTCTTTGCCTGGTTTGGGTAATAGGACTATGTTTGCTATTGACATTTCAGGATTTGGTACCCCGGTCCCCCGAAAGTCGTTAAAAAAAAGTTTGCATAGTTGTGGGGTTAGGACGTTCCGGAAGGTCTTACAGTAGGTCCCGTCTAACCCGTCGGGGCCAGGGGCTTTGCTACCTTTCAGTCCAGTGATGGCCCTTTCAACCTCTTCCTCTGAAATTTCAGTTGCCAGGTGGACTATAGCCTCTTGTGACAGCTTGTGTAGACGTAAGTCTGTGAGGAAGTTGTGTGTTAGCTCAATGTCTCTGTTCCCATAGTTTCTGTTGCCCGGAGAGTGCTCTATAGAAGTTCTTGAAAACTTCTGCTATGTCTCTGGGGTTGGATTTTGTTGTTCCGTCATTATGTCTTATGGATATGATGTGCGATCGTCTCTGTCTAGGCTTAAGGGTCCTGGCTAGCAGTGTGTCCATCTTGTTCCCTTTTTCATAGAAGGTCCCTTTGGACCAGGTTAGGGCTCGGGCTGTGTCGTCCAGGAGTAGCTCTTTTATGGCAAGTCTTCCTTCTTCCACCTGTCGTAGGGTGTCTGTCTGGGCGAGCTTTATGTCTCTGCTCTAGTGTTTTGAGGTTAGTCAAGAGTCTTTCTAGAGTATTTTAAGTTTTTTCTGTATTGTCGCTATGCGGATAAGGGATCCCCTCACTACTGCCTTATGAGCGGCCCAAACGGTGCTCATCTGCATATCTGGGGTGGAGTTAGTATCAAAGTATTCCCCAATCTCTTTGTGTATTTGTTCCACTATCTTGGGGTCACGTGGCAGTGATGCATTAAGTCTCCACTGCCACGGGGTTGCCGAGCAGAGGTTTCCCAGGGTGACCGTCACCTCTGCATGGTCTGACCACGTGATAGACCCCACGGTGGACCCCATGGTGCGTGAGATACAGTTGCTATTTGCTAAAAAGAAATCCATCCTGGAATATGTACCATGCGGGGCTGAATAATATGTATAGTCGACCTTGCTTGCGTGATGCGCCCTCCAGACATCCACGAGGCCCGTTTCTCTCATAAAGCGATGTAATAGTTTGTCCTTCCCCCCCCCCCCCCACCCTGTGATCTAGGAACCCCTTTGTGTGAGCTTCTGTCCACTGTTGAAGTCTCCCACCGCTAAGAACATGCCGTGTGGCAATGATTGAATTTTAGTTTGTAAGGTCTCCCAAAACCCAGGGTCCGGTCAGTTAGGGGCATAGACATTAATCAGGTGAATTGTATCGGAGTGTAGTGTCCCCGATACCATTAGCCCCTCCTCGTCTATATCGGTCGATGTGATTTGCAGCGGGCAACTGTTTTTGATCAGGATCGCTACCCTGTTGTGTTTGCGATGTGCGCAAGCTTCATGTGTCACCGTAAAGGTTTGGTCCTTTAGTGTAAACTCTGCTTGTTTGGGTAGGTGCGTTTCCTGTAGGAAAGCAATATCTGACTTCATTCTTTTTAATTCACGTAACATAAGGCGGCTTTTTGTGGGTGCATTCAGCCCCCTTACATTCAATGAAATAACCTTCACAGCCATGGGTCATTTTGTGTGTCAGTCTGCTCAGCGGTCTCGCCACATATTGCGTGTCGGTCTGGTCTCTCTGCCCCCCCGCTCACAAGGTAAGGAAAAGGGTAAGAAGAACAATAGAGTAAAGAAAGGAAAAAGGTACGTTTTGTTCGTACCTAGAATAAAACATGAGACGTCTGGTCTTAGTACCTGCCAGACCTAAATGTGGGACAGGTTCCGCCACCTTCATTGCGTTTCGCGCTAGTGGGAGATAAGGGTCCATGAGTCATTGCTGTTAAATGCTGTGTTGCTCTTGTATAGCCTTAGTGGTTAGTTTGTGTGGGATACTTATTCTAGTGTGGTGTTTTCTAAGCAAAACTCTGTAACTTGGTCTTGTTAAACCCTATCATTGGCGATAAACAGAAAAGAGAATAACTTTTTCACGCACTAGCTAGGCATCGCATAGTTCGAGGGGGATCTGTCAGTGTGGGCTCTGTTGTCTCTGTCCCTCTATGTGGGGGGTATATAATCTGCAGTAAGGGAAGGGCTCCCCATTATCGGTGCACGGTCACTCATTTTTATCCTACGGTGTCGGGAGGGTTATTGGATGTTTTAGTTTGAGGCTGGACCAGGTAGACCGTGTGTCTATAAGGGCTCGTAAGGGGCGTTTACGCAGTCTCCAGGCAGCCGCCTGGGAGCACAGGCTAGAGGGCCAGCGGCGGCTATCCCTGATGTGATAAGGATGCGTCAGGGTGAGTGGGCTTGAGTTGAGGTGTTCGTCTGATCATCTCCCCAGGTGCTTTCTGCATGGAGGGGATCCGGGGGAGGGTTACAGTGTTTGAATGGCACCTATATGTGTCTTTCCTTATCTTTCTCTTTTTTAGTTTGGGTGCGTGGGGATGGGTGGCTTTTGTGTATTGTGCCCTGTCGAGTGCAGGCTGTCCCCTCCCCCTATTCTTCCTGCATCAGCCCTCGCTCTTCCCCTTCTCCATTCCCACCTACACTCTGTCGGGGTATATACTTGTTTCTACAGGATCTGGGTTTCCCTGGGGGAGACTGTGTCCTTGAAACCTGTCGTCTGTGTGACAGCCCTGCGCTGGGCGGTACCCCACCCACCTCTAGGTTCCCATGTGGGGTTTATCAGAGTGGTGCCAGACCGCCTCAGCGTTGGTCAAGTTGCCCTGGGTGTTCCGGTTGTCTATCCTGGGTTGAGGGTCTAAGTGCCTACTCCTATGTCTCCTCCACCCTGCTGTTATCAGTTAGTGGGGTGCCCGCTATGGTGGGGGGCACAAGCCATTTCCGATCAGTGTGGGCACTGGGTTATATATAAACATTGCATAAAAGTTGACATGAGGCATTTAACATTATGTTTCGCCATTTATCGCCCTCCGCCTTCCATGTCAAGGCATCCTCTTGTTCCCCCTCCCTGCCTCCCCCCAAGCTTCCCCCTCTCCGAAGAATCGGCGTGGGTCGCCTCCGGCCGCCAGGATATATACTCTGATATATACTGTGACGGAAAGCCATTAGGTGGAAGCCCCATACATACCGGACCCCAGCTCCACGCAAGGCCTCTGTGATAGGTTTACACTCTCTTCATCGATGAAGGGTGCTTGGTGCAAGGTCCTGGTATAGGGTAATCTCCACTCCTTGGTGTTTAATGGGAGTCTCCCTGCTTTTCCGGAGCAGGGCCTACTTAGTTGTGAAGTGCAGGAACTTGATTATTATATACCTCGGGGAGTTGGTATCGGCCGCCTTGTCCGCAGGGCCCTATGGGCCCTGTCTGGCATATCAGGGAGTAATGGTTTGAATATGGCCAGCAGTAGGTCCTGTAGTGGCCCTTCTCCGTCCCTCTCCGGTAGGCCTCGAACCCGAAAGTTGTTTCTTCTTGACCGATTGGCCATATCCTCAAGTGCGAGCTCGGCTTCGGCCATACGGGCGTGAGTGTATTGACTTGGGTTACCACCTCATTATAAGCTTTGGTGGTGCCCTCCAGATGCTCCTCCAGGCGACCAGTCCTCTCCCCCAGGGCATGAATCTCCGCCTGCAGGACGGCGGTGGATTTGCCAATTTCGCCTGCCAGGAAGGTCCTCACTTCAGCTAGGTTGGCCATTATTTGTGTGGTGGCACCCAGGCTTTCCCCTTCGACGTCTACTACACGTGGCATGCTTGATGTTTGGCCGATGTTCCGTCCGGCGCCATCTTGATTTTCTGCCGGTCCAGATTTTTGCGCGGCAAACATATTTATGACAGGGATCCCGGCTTTGGCCCCTTTCTTCAGTTGTTTTTTGGGGTTCCTTTTGTCCATTTTAGGTGAAGTATCCCTTGTAGTTTGTTGCTTAACTATGCTGTATTCAACATTTTCTGAGCGGACCTCTATTCCTGTGCGTCCAGCTCGCTCCTCGGCTTGGCCACGCCCCCCCCACTGTCTATTTCTAGCAAAACAGGAAGATTTCCCTGTAATACAATCAAGCATGCTTTCCCAGCTGATCGTGATCGGTGAAGGGCAGCTGGCAAAGTCCAGCACCAATCGCATTTGGCTTGGAAATATACAGGGAGATACTCAGGGTCTCTCTTCAGCAGCCTGAAGCCCTAGAATCGTGATTGCTCAGTCATGGTGTTCTCAGTGGATTTAAAAGTCTATATGCAGCGCTTAAATTAAGTGCAGCATACAGTTTAAATTGGCCCCAACTGACAGAGAGGATTCTTAGGTATCCATAAACACCTGGGTCTTCCTCGTGTGAGAAGTAACTTAACTCTGCTCACACCATGATGGAGTAATAAGCTACAATTCACATACTTATTTAAAAGGCTGTACGTTTTGAGCGCAGCATACAGTGCATCTGTCAGTATTGGACCACTAAAAAATGGCCTGAGCTGGCAAAGGGGAGACCCACATATATATTAATACCTGGGTTTCCTGGTGTGAGTAGGAATTTAAACCTGCTTACACTTCATTACAGCTTACGGGGATTTAAATGCCCATTTAAACAGCTTTGTACAGTATTCACATTAAGCACTGTCAGTCTGAGGCCAGTAAAAATAGCCCAAACTGACAGAGGAGAGCCCCAGGTACTCATTGATAGCTTGAACTCCCTGATGTAAGTAGGGATTTAACTCTGCTTATACCAAAACTGCAGGATGTTCTATGGCTTCCTAACGGCGTTAAAGCCCATTCAGAAGAGGACTGCATAGAATGTCCTGACCCCCATATAGGTTAATTCAATCTATGATTAGGCAAGCAGAGTAACACAGTAACCAGTCTAGTACTGTCTGAAAACAAATGTGTCATAATATGCTTCTGTTACAGAAAATCAAAAAGCCACAAGAGATCAGATAAAGCGAAGGTAAAAAAACACATTAGGAGAGACTTATTAGATATCTTGCTTTCATTATCTATAAAAATTCTCCCTTATTACGTGGAAACTAGATCTTGCTAAAAATCAAACAATAACAGCTCTTAATCATGTAATGCCGTGCATCAGGTAAACAATGGATCAGGGCTCACCTGCCTAGTCATCTGCCAGACACAGTCGATAAACTGTAAGAATACTGGGGACTTGTCTGCATCAGCGTGGTTTTTATCACCGTGACCAACTCTCTGGTTTGGGAGAAAAAATATTTTATTAATATTCATGACCACTGTACACATGTATAATATGTATACAAGATTATAAAAAAAATTCCTTGAGTAACATCAACGATGCAGCCACAGGCGTAACTAGAAACCATGGGGCCTGGTGCAAAAACTGCCCTGGGCCCTATACGTCCCCGACCCCGTAAACATGCAGACACAAACTGTCATGTAGACACACACATACATACAGACGCACATACACACAGAGACCCATACATACATACATACATACAGACGCATATACACACAGAGATCCATACATACACACACATACGCAGACATGTAGACACACACACATACAAACACACAGACACACACATACATACATACAGGCGCACACACACACAGAGACACACAGATACATACAGACACACACACACACACACGCAAAATGTTTAAGTCACCCTCCTGTTTCCTACCTTTTAGATGCAGGAGGGTGACTTCCCTGGGGTCCAGTGGTGGCTCAGCCTGATGTGAGTCAGAGTTCCCACTCTTACTCCCTCCGCTCTTCCTCCCACGCGACTCACAGTGGTTGCTGGCAGGAAGTGACAGGGGCAGTCACTTCCTCCCTGCGTTCTGATATCGTCACAGGGGCCCGGTCGCGCTGTTATTCATTGCCATCGGGGTGGCCCTAACAGCATGGGCCCCTTAACGTGCGACCACAGCCCCCTGGAGTGACGGGCCAGGTCGCAGCTGCGACCACGGTACTTCCGCCACTGGATGCAGCCAATTGGACTGCCCACACACTGCATGCCATGAAAGGGTTTTCAATTGCTTCACAACCAAATATAGTCTTTCATAGAGGTTTATTTTGTATGCATTCTAGAAAACACTTATGCACACACAGAAACACACACAATTTTCTGTTATGTTTATACAACTTTTCAAACACAATGAGGGAGTTTAAGCATGCGTGTGATAGGCATAAGGCTATCCTAGCTAAAAGATAAGGCCAGGGACTAATGAAAGGATTTATAAAATTGGGCAGGCTAGAGGGGCTGAATCGTTCTTATCTGCCGCCACATTCTATGTTTCAAACCTTATATTTCTATAGAATATGCTTCTTTTTTTTTTTTTTTTTAACCAAACATAAATTTGCTTATTTAAATGTACAATTAATGGTATCTGGATCGTCTATGTTCACCTGGAGGAGAACAGAAGGCATGCAGAAAGTATGAAGCTCTTCAATAAGTGAGCACTAGGTATTAACTTGAACTTTGCTTGGGCGAGGTTTTAACTGACAGGGTGTGGGCTTTGTAATTTGCAATCAAATTAAAAACAAACAATACATTTGCATTGGAGGTATAAAACCCCATACATATGAATGGATAGCCTATAATAGGGATAGCAGAAAAAGGCTGTTGTCTGCATTAAAACAAATGACTCACAAGACGGAACTGGTGCCCAAAACTAATCCACTCCTTCTCCACTAGGACTTCAAACCCCCTAATAGTCCTAAAGTAGCCATCGAGCATAAGCATGGCCAGTGATGTCAGCTGCGCAGTGCGATCCCATCCATCACTGCAGTGTACAACAACAGACGTTTTACCCGACTCCAATTTGTCAGCAATCCGCAAGGCACCGGCAAGGATGAGCTTTACAGAAAAAAAGAAAGAAAGAAAGGTTTCAAAATCTAGAAAATATAAAAAGTATATTAGGTCTTAATATTACCGGTAACTTCAAATATATGGTACAGGAAAGATAACAGTGTGACAGATTACGTGAATGTTTTATGAAATGTAATATTTAAAAAAACGCCTTCTGGAGAGTCAATATGTGAGATATATTATAGAGTAAGCTTGTAGAAACAGCACTCCCAACACTTAGTAGAAGACACAGCTTCTGACTGGTGTGAAACTGCTTCATATGAAACCATAGAAACCACGACACCATAGGCTAATTACAATTTAGTTAATTTTGCCTCATTTTTTTCACTTTCGTAATTTCAGCTATGTCCATTTATTCAAATTTTGGCATATTTATTCGATCTGTTCTTTGGCCGTCTGTTTTGTTTTGTACAATTGACATCCAATTACTCTCCAAAATAAGTAAATAAAAATAGTCACACTTATGTCGGTAAATATACATATATACATATACATAGATAAGCTCCCCGATAAACACAAGATTACACAGTTTACTGACATGCACACAATGTCACTTCACATGAGCTCACTGACACATTCACAAGCTCACTCACAGACACACAAGTTCACTACTAAAAAAATCCCAACACAGAAGCTCACCCACAGAAAAATCATTAAACACAGCTCACTACACGGAAACACACACACACAGAAATACCATAGGACTAGTGTGCCCAATTCCTTTGGCTCGAATTCCAAATCACCAGCACAACACTGTCCTTATTTAGTAAAATGCTATGCCAAGTCAATCAGTGCCACTCCGTGCCATGGGAATCATAATTAGAAGATGAGATTTTAAGGTTAGACAATCCTTGTTTAACAGAATATATGAGAGTGACAGGTCTTTTAAAGGTACACTTCATGCCCCAAACAATTCCATCGAAATGATTGATCTACCCCTGAGCTTCTGCTCTATCTCTGAGGCTTCAATCAGAAAGCCTCAGACTGGGCACCACTAATAGGCTGGGAGCATCAGTTGATGCTCTCAGCCTATCAGAAGCCCCCCACTCACAAATTGAGTGAAAAAGGTGTGCTTTCAGCGTCGTCCAGTCAGAGTCCTCTTGATTGAATCCTTGGACGTACAACAGAAGTTATGGGGCAGGGCATAAGATTGAAGAATTTCAGGTTAAAACGTTTGTTAATGGTTTAACTCGATGGAGTAAACCAGTGCCCAGGAACTTAATTCTGATGACGTTGTTATGGTGCCCTGAGTAGTCTTTAACTAAGCAGCAATCACTGGAATACCTATGTTTGTTCTACCTTGATATGTTCTAACCAATGAGTGGACTCCAAGTTGGAAAGCCAGTTTAATTCCTGAATTATCGGGTAAGAAATCTCTTTCAGTTTCCTTTGAGATTCCCTCATTACATGGATATTGTGGATGTCCAGGAAGACCAGCTCTGCATTCTGATATGCATCCTCACTTTCAAACCCTCCACCTTTGGCCTAAATATTAATATGAATGGAGAAAGGATTAGTATGTACAAGTGTCAACAAAAACACATCTTAATACACAAAATGAAACACTACAGCAACCCTGAGAATTAGGCCCAAATTACCTAACATTTACATCTATTATATTAAGCACATTGTGGTGATCTATATTAAGGGATATAAGGAGAAAAATAAGTATGTAAGTTTTTATTAAATTATTTACTAAAGTGAGAATTCAAAGTGAACTTCACATTTAAGGCCAGATTAGCCAAACTAAAAACATTGTTGAACTTTCAATCTCGGCTATATTGATCTTAAATTTCACAGAAACATAAAACGTGATGGCAGATATGAACCATTTGGCCAGGGGCAGGCTGGGACGGGGGGCAGGGGGCAATTGCCCTCCAAGCCGTCCTAAATCCAGGACCACCAACATCCAGCCTCTGGCTGGGGACTCTGATTTTTCAACTTGCCTCACTCTCCCTGCAGCCTGCAGCCAGTATAGTCGGCCGGCCTCTCCTGATAATGTCAGGAGGAGGGCGCGTGACTTTCACTGCTCTTCTCCCAGGACCGCTGGGGAGTCTGGGACAAGAACAGAGGAAGTCACGCTCACGCCTCCAGACATCATCAGGAGAAGCCGGCCGACTCCACTGACTGCTGCTCCTGCTGGCTCCTACTCACACCTACTTAACAGTACGGTTTTTAACACATTACTAAAATTAACACAGACTGCTTAATAATAAATTTCTAGAACATCTAATGTGCAAGGTGCCCTGTGGATGGACATCACTGATGTATTTAAATGGACATACCTTATTTGCCACAGCATTGACACTAGGCCTTGCATCAAATATAAATATTTTGTGAGAATGAGCATTGGCATCCATGATTGACTGTAAGTACTTTTCATCTTCCTTGCTCCTTTTTCCATTGACTCCAACCATGGGTTGGCTACATCGAATTATAGCAGCCTGACTTTCTGGGTGAATCCATGAGAGCACCTGTGTTAAACATGAACTCCATTATTAAAAATATTACATGCTATATTAGAAAATAGACAGTGGTACACTATAGCTCCACACTTTTTGTTGCAGTAGAGAATTTGCAATACTATACTATTCTCCCCCGGGGAATTTAAACTGCTTAGTGCACTTTCAAATAAAATAATTCAGCAACTAATTAAAACATTTAATATTACCCAGCTTTATCAACCTAAGAAGAATTAAAGGAGTGAGGTGACTATCAAGAATGACAACCAATGTGTTGGTTAGACTACAAGGTCTATCCACAAAAAGTCAAACGGGGGAGGGGGTGGGGCGGGCCGTCATGCTGACCGGTCGCATGCAGGAGAGGCTCCTGAGGGATTCTGTCATTTACGCTGAAAATCGCAGCTGCTGAACAATGTTTTGCACAGCAAAAAATAAAGAATTAAAAAAAAAAAAAAAAAAATTTAATTTTTTTTTAAGTCAAAAGGGAGCAAAGCATAAAAAAAAATAATCCTTGAGATTAGTTTTTGAACTAAATGTAGACTCAACTATAAATATTTTAGAGCTGCTCGGTGATGTTCACACTTAAACACTTACGTTTTTAGAGTTGCCCCTACATTAAACGAACACTAATGTTGGAAATACAAATATTCCTGACGTAAGAGTGTTGTACTGCCCAGTTAGAATATCAAGCCTTTCAAAAAGTCAGAAAATAATGCATTTTGCTTATTGTCTGTCCCCGGTAGTGCTTGTCCCAATGTGCCCACCAATCCTCTTCTGGCTGAGATCACTAGTGCTGATGGTCTTAACCATTACAATAATTCCTCATAGGGAGGAAATGGGGATCACTGCATCTCCTCATAGCATTGACTTAAAGGAACACTATAGTCACCTAAATTACTTTAGCTAAATAAAGCAGTTTTAGTGTATAGATCATTCCCCTGCAATTTCACTGCTGAATTTACTGTCATTTAGGAGTTAAATCACTTTGTTTCTGTTTATGCAGCCCTAGCCACACCTCCCCTAGCTATGATTGACAGAGCCTGCATGAAATAAAAACTGGTTTCACTTTCAAACAAATGTAATTTACCTTAAATAATTGTATCTCAATCTCTAAATTGAACTTTAATCACATACAGGAGGCTCTTGCAGGGTCTAGCAAGCTATTAACATGGCAGGGGATAAGAAAATCTTAATTAAACAGAACTTGCAATAAAGAAAGCCTAAATAGGGCTCTCTTTACAGGAACTGTTTATGGAAGGCTGTGCAAGTCACATGCAGGGAGGTGGGACTAGGGTTCATAAACAAAGGGATTTAACTCCTTAATGGCAGAGGATTGAGCAGTGAGGCTGCAGGGGCATGTTCTATACACCAAAACTGCTTCATTAAGCTAAAGTTGTTCAGGTGACTATAGTGTCCCTTTAATTTATTTCAATGAGGAGTGTTCGGCATCTCCTTACAGGATGGCAACCAGGAAGAGCCTCAAGTGACTGTCAGCACAGCATGATAGCCAATAGAGGTGGTCATAGGAGGCCTTTCTCAGAAAGGTTGGTAGTACCACTGCTGAGACTGCATGGACAGTCCCTCTGCCCCAGGAAACATTACATTAAGCTGTAGTGTTTCTGGTGCTTAGTGTCCCTTTAAGCAGAACTAAACATTGGATCTTAAAGCAACACCACAATGAAGTTGTTTTGTTGCACATATGCTGTCCTTTTTTCAGACAAGGTAAAACATTGCTATTTGTTTGAAGAGACATTTCTACTGTCTGTCACACAGACAGCCACAAGAGGGCACTTCCTACTTAAGACCTTTGAATATCGAAGCATTTACATTCTTTGTCCGCACGCCTACCATTATGATATCGAACACATCCAAAGCTTCTTTGTGATTAGACAAGATGCAAAATCACCAGATGCAGAGCAGTTTGCACTGAGGAGATTGTCTCAGCACTATAATTTTAAAACTATATTCATTTAGCATCAAGAGTTTTCCTGTAACGAAAAGTCTTCTGTGAAATCCATTGCTACCCAGCCCAGTTCTCTAAACCTCTCATTGCAGCTAAGCCCATCACTGTAGTTGACTTAACTCAACGAAAGGTGAGGGGCTGGGCTGTAGGTATCAGAAGAACCCTGTTTTTTTTTTTTTTTTGTCAAACTACTTTAGAACTGCTTGGAAAGTATGCTATATTTATCAGACTCAAGGCAAATACCCTAATATTGTTTACTGTAGCAGCCCTTGGAACACTCAGAAGATGATCATTTTTCAGAATCTTTGGTAGAATATGTTATATTACAGTTGATAAAATGGAGAGAAGATAAAGATCTGCTGCCTTAGCATATGTCAATCATTAGACAGAGCACTGCCTCCTTTGCCAATTTTTAGAAAATGTCCATTTTGCCCTAATAACCAAAATGGCATTGAACCCAAACAAATATTTAAAATTATATGAATAAATAAATGAATGAATGAAAATATAACATGCACTTACTGGTACTCGATCTCTGGCTCGGAATGCAGATACCCTTCTTAGTTCCTCATCAGAAATATTTACAGGAACAACCAAAATAGCTGGATATGTGTCACACAGATCATACCGCTCATTTATTTTTGAAATTCTCCAACTTTCATTAGGAATGCCCTAAATTAAAAAAAATAAAAAAAATAAATAAATAAATAAAATGAAGTGCAACTGAAAAAAGAAACCCAAAAAATGATATAAAAGAAAAGATTTACAAAACTCTAAGCACCCACACCACCAAAATCCATGGAACCTTTTTTCTGACAAATGGCAATGTTGACATCTACCTGGAACCGGAGAGCAACTAGAGCCGCTTCCTCCGTCACATGCTTCAATTTTTGCCACAGAGTTTCACCCTGCCGGACTTTACAATAACCCCAAGTAAAACAAATAAGAGCAGTATGTATGTTTATAATAAAACTGTCCAGTCAAGCAAAACAAATAAGCTTGAACCTGTGTAGAATAAGTGATTACATGTAGTGTAAAAAGAAATAGGCATTGTATGGAGACATCACTGTATGTACGAACTTGAACAAGTCCAAATGGTAAGAAATAGTCACCACATAATACTTTTATTTTGGCATAATAAAATCCCAGTGATACTAGATTTAAGCAGCATAATGACAAACCTGATTTATGCAGGAAGCACTTAATCACAGTTCTGTGACTCAGCCAGGTAGCACTTCCTATCCTGTAGATCATACAGCTTATACTGGCTCAATGGAAAATATCATATATGACTAGACAGGAATTTTTATACACAACATTATTAAATACCATTAAATGCACCTTACATCTTCCTTTTTGAATTATTGACCCACTTATGAAACAGCAAGTAACAGAAACATACATACAAAGATGATGTACCTGCCGTCTGTATTCCATGATGGGATCATAAACCTTCCAACCATTCTCAGGGAATACTTCTTTGTAATCAAAAGCAAAGATAGGCTGTAGAGGAAATCAAAGTTTCACAAAAGTTGTACTATGGAAGTTTGTTTTAGCAACATTGCATAAATAAAAACATGTTATACTTTGCAACATGTCAGAAAAAAAGTGTTTTTATATTTTGTCAATATTGGTCATATTTCCATTATATTATAATTTTATAGCGACAATATATTCTGGGGTTCTTTACAGCGGAGATACATAACTACAAGTAACCAACAGACAACAAACATTTTACAGACATAAAAGGTGCAGGGGCTGTCCATGCATCAGAATATACACATATCTATTAACTCGTATAAATAATAAAAATATGCAGATTAAAAAAAAGGAATGATTGCTATGAGTTATGAAGATAAAAACTTTCAAAAGTACTTATGGGTTAAACAAGTTTCCTTGAACATTTCTCTTGCACCTATAATGCAGATCAAATCATTTTAAAGGAACACTTCAAGAACAAGCTGTATTGGTAATGGTGCAGAGTGTGTCATGGTAGTTGCATAAGTAGTTGGATAATGTACAGGGTTGCCTACACTGCATCTGGTCTGTAGCAGAAGAACCAAGAGGTCACTGTATAGAAACATCGAATGTGACAGCACTAAAGGAAGACTTGCTGATATTATTTTTAAACCTTTGCCCCTCTAATTTAAGACTATGTCCTCTTGCTGTGGTAATTATTCCCTTTTGTTATTCTTTATTTTTGTAGTGCAAAAGGTGAACAAACAGAGTAATATAGGAATAGACATATCAAGAGAAAATGGGAGTAACAATGCTTATTCAAGTATGCCCTGCTGGTAACGCACTATTTTTGTGTTGTAAAACATGCAGATTAAACAAGGTAGATAACTTGCCCGATGGCATGATGAGTAAGAGACATCAGACTTTTAGAACATGATTAAATGCCATGAGCCAAGGATGCAGCTCCTCTTGTGGGGAGAGGGTCAGTACCCATGATGTTCAGGAGCGTTTAGCTGATGCCTCAGAAAGGAATGTTCAAAGGGTGGTCCTCCAGAGCCCATGAGTTACAAGATGCAGTTCCTGCTGTAAGGGAAAGTGAAGGTGCTTGTCGACTCCAATGGGCTCCCGTAGAGATCGCCATGGTCTGAAGCGGAATCCGCTGGGGTAATGTGCCAAGAAACTGGTGGTGCTGTTTAGGGTACATTAGCTGTCGTAGTCTGGTCCAGAAGTCAGCAAATATGAGGTTTAGTTTGTCAAGTATTGTGTTTCCTTTGTCGCTGGAGTTAAGGTAGCACGAGGCGCCTGGCTGTCTGGGAGAGCGGCCATCTCCCCCGTTCGGCACCTGCACCAGGCCTCACTGTGCCTCCCGCAGATTGCAGGCTAAGCTTGATTTTTCAGACACTGTAGGCAACCCCACAGCAGGAGAACAGTAGGTTGCAATTCCGGCTTAACAAGATATTCAGGAGTGTCAATTGCTTAGCCAGGAGCTCTGGTAGAATGTGTCCTGCCACCATGCAGGTCAGGCCCCGCCACCCATAGTTTTTCTTCTTTTAAATAAAGTATACCTTTTTTTTTTGTTGATTTCTGCCATATCTGCCCTGACTCATCTTTCCTCCAAACTATACATGTTAAGAACCTTTAACCTTTCCTTGTAAGTTTTATCCTGTAATCCATAAACTAGTTTTGTAGCCTTTCTCTGAACTCTTTTCAAATTATCAATATCCTTCTTAAGATACGGTCTACAGTACTGCGTACAATACTCCAAGTGAGGTCTGTACAATGGCATGAGCACTTCCCTCTTTCTACTGCTAATACCTCTTCCTATACAACCAAGCATTCTGTATAAAACAAAGCAGGACCGCAACCAAAGGCTGAGAGAGTCACCCAAGTATTTTCCACCTGTGAGTGGAGTCCGGTACTGTCCTGCTTTGCTCAATAGAGCACCATGTCTTCTCCCATTGGAGAAGATCGAATGTGTGGCAGGCACCCAGGGAAGTTGCCAAACCGTACCAAAAAGGTATGACATCTTAACATGGAACGGTGCCATGGCACTCCTTGCACCATAACCACTACAGTGGTTGGTTGGTTGGAGTGTTCCTTAAACCGTTTTTGGTTCAATCATTTAGTCTCAAGAACAAAGTCTTCTATCAGTGCTTTAGGTAAAACACAAACTTGATATTTAGGCCCAGAAATGGTCATCCTATCATGCTTTATTAAACAGCTTGATAAAGTATGAATTCAGTGCACAGAAACTAGAGAAATGTAAATTAATCTCATACCAAACTATGATTTAATGGAAAGGCATATTTCACGAGGGACTCAAACACAGATTTGCGAACACGTCCATCAGGTTTGAAAGCAAAACGTATGTTCCGCATATCCTAGAAAATGAAAAAAACAAAGACAATTAGTTAAAAGAAAATCACATATAAAGAAAATGAGGAAAATCATTAAAAGTTACTCAACTCTAAAACTTCCCTAAGTGAACTGTTAAGCGGCATTTGCAGGCAGAACACAGGAATAAACTAGTATCCCTTAAATGCTTACAAAACAAATACATTGTTGATCTACTGCAGCATTTCCATTCATCAAACATACAACAGCTGCTATCAGTTTGCATCTAGCCCAGTTCACGGTTTTAATAACTGGTCTATGTGAAACAAACACTGTAGGGTCAGGAACACAAACATGTATTCTTGACCCTATAGAGCTGCTGGCTCTGCCTATGATTGCCTGCTTGGCTGACATTAGAAGTGATTCTCTGAGCCCATAGGAAAGCACTGGATTGGCTGAGATCATCAAGGAGGCAGATATGGGGCAGAGCCAGCACAAGCCAAACACAGCCCTGGCCAACCAGCATCTCCTCATAGAGATGCATTGAATCAATACATCTCTATGAGGTAAGTATAGTGTCTCCATGCAGAGGGTGAAGACAATGAACGTCAGTCACAGTATGCAGCACTGCCCCAGGTGGCACCTCTACCTAGTTGTGCGTGCAGCATGAGACGCTGTATACAAAAATGTGTGTAAAACTGATACAGTCTGGAACCAAACTGAAGTGGTTATGGTGATTAGAGATACATTTTAATGCATTACATAGAAAGTAAAAACAAAATAAAAAAATAAATGAAAAGATTCTCACATTTGAAATTCCGGCATTTTTTTGGAAAACAGGAAATCACTAGATCTTACTATACTTTTAAGCAATGCTATAGACACTGCAAAGGTTTCTGTGGACTGTACGTCTTTTAACAACATTCTATGAAACAAATCCATTAGTTGAGCTACAGCTCCCAGACCTCAGTCACAAAGTTATGTACAGCATTCTTGTAGCAAGTCAGGAAACTCTGCAGGATGTAAAGTACCAACAGCGGAACTAAAACACCTGCATTATCAGTGTCACTGTTGTCCAACTTAGATGACATTAACAGCTGAGAGCACTGGGCTAGTCTGCCATCAGCACTCTACACCAGTGTTGGATGAAATGTATTCCGATAATACGTAAGTGTTAATTCTGCATTATCAGGGCAGCCAACATCTGCGCTGTTTGACATTTATAAAAGGAAAAGGTGTTCTAGGCTTCAAGCTGTAGGGATTATGATGCTTAGGAGATCCTCTTTAACGTATATTATATTGATTTTGAGACATCTCTATAGCAATGCTGCCATATGATTTACCTTACACACAATTTCGACACCATGGGAATTCTCTCCACGACTGGAGGCTCCACCAATCTTTTCTATTCTGCTGATAACTCCAAGAGGGGCATCTAAAACTAAACGATGATCCTTAGAAAAAAGTAATAAATAGTGAGTCACAAAGATCAGTAATAATATATATATATATCTCTATCTATCTATCTATCTATCTATCTAAAGGGGGCACAATAACAACTTCATCTAAATGAAAAAGTATGTTTCTTTTCAAGCCAGTTTTACGAATGTGGAGTCACTGATTGTCTGGGAGTGTAAGCTGACTGCTTTCGGCCTATCAGCAGTGTGCGCTGTAACTAAGATTCCGAAGCCGGATGCCGCTTGGGGCATTTTGGGGTTAAACTTTTTGGGAATGCTTTAATCCTTAAAGGTAAGAGTGCACCTGGGGGCCGACTGTCACCATAACAAATCAATTTAGATGAACTTGTTATGGTGACTGGAGTGCCCCTTTAATATTATTTGATTTTAGGTCATTTTCTATCTTCCAATAGCTTTTTTTTGGTTTCTTGAACAAAGGGAGTGCCTGGTTTGTATCTCTGTCTATTAGTATCTGAACTGTTTCTAATGTTTATTATGAAATATATAACATCATGGTAATATGGAAAGAGAGAGGAGGCTGAAACAAGAACAGTTTGTATCAGTTTGTCTATGACTGATTCAAAATGTTTGTCTTTACTAGTAAAGCTTAAAGGGACAGCTCAATGAAGTGGTCTGGGTGCCAGGTCCTTTTCACAGAGTTAATTTAGCCTTGGATCCTTCAATGGCTTATAAGCCTATATTCATTGCAAGTGTATCCTAAATATATAGATTCCATAAGTGATTACTGACTTTATTATTTTACTCACATTCCCTCAATTTTTTTTGTCCACGTGGTTTATTAATGTATATGTGTGTGTGTCTTTTATTATTAACCACTATTAAAAGTTACATTTTATGATTTATCTCTAGCATAGCACAGCGTATTTCTGCTTTTCGTTTAACATTTTTATAAACAATTCTACTTCAGTTTATAAATTAGAAGAGAAATTCGAGCATGACTGATAAATTTGCTGGTTACCTTGGAGGAAATAAATACTGATAGTATCATTTTAAAACAAGATAAAATATAGTCCTGCTCCAACAATGACACCAACTGAATCAGGAAAGATAGTGTCTGCAGGAAGTGTCCAATAAAACACATCTGCTTGTGACCAATTCATTTCATTGGTAGCATTTCAGTTGCCGAGTTAAAGGTTCCAAAGAACAAGAAGCTGTCACATTTGTGGGAGAAATACATTTGTCACAAGAAGAGAAATGTCTTTTTCTTTTTGAAAGCTTCAGTTAAGATGCACAGATAACTAAAATCAAGTAAGGCATAATGACTTCAATGACAACCATTAAAGGTCTAGTAGACAAAAGGAAAAAAGTAGATTAATTTCTTACCCTTTCCAAGCTTTTGAAATATAGTCTGTAGTTTGTGACAGTGAAACTTCCCCGAATAGCTCCAGTGAATGGACAGATGTAAGCAACATCTTTGGCTACAAGTTAGAAATACAATATTAGCATGCAGCAAATAAAAAGTACACGCTATTTAAACGTAAATGTGTAACTATTAATGAATGCACAAAAGAATAAATCACAAACACAGAGGATTCTGAAAAAAAAAAAAACACCACAAAACAGTAAAAAAAAAAATTAAAAAAAAAATCCTTACAGCCAATATTGGGCCTTAAAATGTGACAACTCGCAACCTAAAAATAAACCAAACCTTGGATATCTTATATTGTAATATATTAGGAGTGAAAGTGAAATGTTCTCTAAAATGTCGATTTGAAAGTTGGTCAAAATATGTTCCAATTTATTAAAGTGTTTTAAAAGTAGTTTGAAAATCATTGCCTTTTTCTCTGCATATTCTGATAGCTACTTTTTTACATCCCCATAATTATGTACCACCAAAAAAAATACAGTGAATTGCCTGTTAAAAAATGATTGATCCCCAACATACAGAGCTGCATAACTCACATCGAAACCATAAAGGGGTATGAGATAATGGCCAGGTCCAACAATCCCCCAAAAAAGTTTTGGAAGGAGGCATGGGAAAAATGGGACACATACCAACAGACACAGTGACACTTAAACACCCCTCACGTTGTAGCCCACAGGACAATGCTTTAAGGGGAAAGCACTAAGCAAAACTTCTCGACATCACTCTCCGACCATATGGAAGCCCACACACATTATCCTCTCCTACTTAAGCTGGATGAGTACACCGGCGCAATTTATTGGGGCCGACGAACAGACCTAAATGCTGGACTAAGCTAAGGGACCAACACCCGCTCTCCTCCCCTCTTCTACCTCTCCCCTTTTCCCCGTATTACACCCAGGTTATGCCCCAAGTTTATATTCCTTTGTTCACTGGAAAAGTAGCTAAGCACCAGGGAAGATGCGGGTTACTTTTACAATTGGGCAATTACTGAAACTGGCAAAGCGAAAAGAGAACTCCAACTATCATGCCCAATGGACAAGAAGGAGAGCACACAAATATGGGCACAATTGCAAGCCAGGATACTCTGTTTAATGATACTCTGTTTAATGGTGTACCTATAATGTCATTACTACACGTATGCTTCACACTGGTTCTCATCAGCGTAAGGTTATGATAGTACATTGTCAATACATGCTGCTCAATATTTGTACTCTCTATGCTGTAATCATGAATGTACCTCGCATACCCTGTATACCTGTAACAAGAGTGTGAAATTCCATAAAATGCAAAAAAAAAATAAAAAAATAAAAAAACTAATTAAGATTTATTTAATTTACTCAATTTTTCATATTGTCAGTATCTTAAAGGAACACTAAAGGGCCAGGAAGACAAACATGTATTCTTGACCCTGTAGTGTTAAAGACACCATCTAGCTCACCTGACCTCACTAAATATAGTAAAATCTTATCTTTATTGCAGTCTGCTGCTGTTTGTTCTACCCCTGATCTGCTTCCTTGGCTGACATCATCAAAAGTTGTGATCTCAGCCAATCAAAATTATTTCCCATAGGAAACCGTTGGATTGGCTGAGAATGTCCAGGAGGCAGATCAGGGGCAGAGCCAGCACAAGCCAAACACAGCCCTGGCCAATCAACATCTCCTCATAGAGATGCATTGAATCAGGTATTAGGCAAACTATTGCAAAACAGTTTGCCTTCTTACCAGGAACAGCACCAGATTAGTTGTGGCTCCACAATCATTACAGCGGGCTATAGTGCTTCTGATGTTGGGAGTAACTCTTTAATATGATGGATGTGTGTTACAATGGATAAAGGCTGGGGCTCTGGCAATTATCTACAATACAGGGGCATTCACAGTTGAGTAGTTTATACACACATTAATATGTGTAAGATAAAAAAATTGATTAAAAATGAATAATACAATGTAACTCTCTTACGATTTAAAAAAAAATGTTATGGTAAATCACACCCAGGGATGCCATGTTAAAAGGGCACTCTAGACAGCATAACCACTGCAGCCCACTGTAGTGCTCATGGTGCTAGGATTGGCCCCCAGTAATTAGTTGAACAGTTTTCAAACAGATTGATACTTACCTGGGTCTCCCGAGAAACTCCAGTGCTATTTCCATTTCCAATATAACCATAGCAAAAATTCCTCTTCCGTAGTAGTTATTTAAATTTTATCCCTACTTGGGTGAAATTCATTGGCTCAGATCGTGAGATTATGCTCTCAACCAATCAATTCTGTCCAAACACATGTGGATATGAAATTATCTATCTAAAGAGAATATGGGACCAGAGGCACTTACTGTGCCAACTGCTTACTGTTGGATGGTACCAAGGCACCATAACAATAAAGCGATATAGCGATAAAGGAACCCACACTGCTCTTCTAACACAAAGTGAGAAACAATGTATTATTTCACAAAGATTTATCCATTTTATATAAATTAATTGCTAGTTTGTCTACTATTATTTTAAGGTAAAACAGATATGTCTATAAGTGTTCTGCATTCCATATTCATTTAAAAAAGACGCAAACTAAAATAGCTCAGTTGGGAGAGAGTTAGAGTGATCCTGGGTTTTGACATTGGTTGTAATGTCCCATGATTCATTTTGTATATGAAGTATATGCGTACCCATGTCTTTAACAATTTCTCCCGGTAGCAGTAGCAATTCCTCCATCTTGGCGGATCAGTTTATTCTATTAAAAATAAACCATATTACAGTGTAAGTACAATGTATGATTGCTTTGCAAGACCGTTAACATTTCACTTAAAATCAATAACCTGTGAAATACTAATCCGGTACAAATAAGAAGGAACAGCCAGATAAAAGAATTACAATGACAAATTTCATCTCCACGAGCCACAAGTGACTGCATTACAAATATCCCCTTACCGGTAATAACAAACATAGAAAGATAAAGAAATATGGATTAATATGTGACGGGGTCTCCAGAGGACGAAGTTACTCAGCCTTTTTTACTGGCAAGCATTTGTAACTTCTGGGAAAGTGACTAAGTGCCACAAATACTAGAGAATTACGTTTTAGAGGTTAGAGGAAAAATAAAGCCAGGCTGTCTGCTTTGTTCTGTTGGTTGCTAATGGCATCCGTAATAGTTAAAATGGACACAGGCATGTGAGAATATCCATTTAAAGGAAAACTTTTTTTAAATTTTATTATTATTATTATTACTGGGGAAAAAAGACAAGATAACATACTTATAATATACCATCCGTGTATACTATTTTGTAATGCGTACACTGTTAAATACCTCTTTTGAATGCAAATCGTGGCTTATCAAAGAGATAGAATCTTCAAGAAACTTTTTACAGCGTTGGAGTGTGTGCGTGTGTGTTTTTATGACAAACCAGAGACTAACTGCTTATTTGTGGCAAAAGAAACACATTTGACTGGAACAGGCACCATAATTGATGCATATAGCACTTTATTACACATGGACAAGAACTCAACACCTCAAAATGCATATGGTTCTCAGCAGGATAAACTGTACTTCAGATCTCCGAAGACTGACAAATGGCCACCCCTATAAAACACGGTAAGCCAATCTGAGATGCTCTGAAAATAGGCTTCAACTTTATCGGTATTGCAAAAACTATATGCATATATTACATGCTTTCTTTTCAATAATAGTAATTCCTACTATGATGCCAGAGTAATTAAAATTCTGTACCAACAACCTCTATTATATAGTGACAGAGAGCCATTTTATACAGCACAATGTTGAACTAAATCAAGCTGTGCACGGAAATATAAATACATACTTCTGCAACTGGTACCATCGTTGGGAAATCATTCTTAAATACTTCTTAGTACTGACTATCATTCACACAACAGATGTTGGATGAATGAGCAGTACAATGTGAGATGCACAATGTCTCCCAAACCTCTTCATGTGCCTCTAGAAGCCACAATACAAAGCATGGCAACAAATAGCAGACAACAATTATCAGTGCTCAGTTTATAACCAGGCCCTGATCCAAGCTGAGATAAGTAGAACTTTGAATCTTTAAGTTTGCTGTCGATATTGTTAATACAACATACACGAGATCGCTCACTAGATCAGGAATTGTGGACAATTTACAAGGACACTGGAAATTTTAGACAACATTTTTTTTTTTTTTTTTAACTCAGCTTCTTCTTTACAGCTTTTAAACCTTAAAAGGACACTGTAGGCACCCAGACCACTTCAGCTAATTGCGAGGGAGGGGGGATGCACTAGAGTTCAGGAGTGCCAGGAACACAGCTTTGTATTTCTGGCATTACAGTATCCCTTTAAACTGTCTGTCACCTTTGGGGATCACTGCAAGCTTTGCAAATGTCCCAGAAGGAGACATCAGTACTCAGTATGTGGTGACCTTGGGGGCAAGACGAGGTGAGCTACACTTCCCTTAAAGCGACATTGTTATAATTTGCAAATACCTCCACTTGACATTGCAAGTGGCAATATGGAGGCGGCCAGCTCAGGAAGCTGTGTAGGCGGCCCACTGGCCACCAGTGGGAGAATTGAGGCGGCAGGCTGGGGCAGCGCACAAGGGAGAAGTCTTCCTGCAGCTCCTCTCTGCTACCTTATGCTGTGCAATGATGCCGGGAGCCGAAATATGAGGTCATTCCAGCCCCGGCATCACTGCAGACAGTGCGAGGGAGCAGAGAGGAGTTGCAGGAAGACTGTCAATGAGTGTGTGTATGTCTGTATATCTCTCAGTGTGTGTGTGCATGTCTGTGTGTGTATATATATATATGGCTGTTTAGGTACCTGTCCCCCTCCGATCACATGATAGGTGTTTTTACTTTCCTTTTTTCCTTACGCCGTGCTGGTTTCGCTGTTGCTTGTCCCGCCTCCATAGCTGAGATCTAGGAAGATATTAAGCATGTTCTCTATGGCAGGGGTTCTCAACCTTGCCCTCAAGGACCCCCTACCAGTACAGGGTTTAGGGATTACCTGGGTGTGTCTAAGGTGTTTAGAAAAAGAAAAAAAAAACTCCTTAGAGTCTAAGGTTTTTTTTTCTTCCCTTTTTTTAAACACCTTAGACACACCCAGGTAATACCCAAATCCTGGACTGGTAGGGGGTCCTGAGGACTGGGTTGAGAACCCCTGCTCTATGGGTAACATTCAGCGCCTCCATGTAGAGCACTGGCATAGTACTCTAGTGGCCGTCTGAGTGACGGTCACTAGAGGTCTTAGTAGGCAGCAATGTAAACACTTCCATTTCTATGAAAAGGCAGCGTTTACATTGAAAAGGCTACAGGGACAGGCTATAGGCACATTAATCTGTAGTGGTTCTGATGACTATAGGGTCCCTTAAAAAAAAAACTGGCTCCTAACTTTTTTAGCTGGCTCCTAGATTCCAAACAAATTCGTCAAGCCCTGATTTAATGCATATTTAGGGTACGGTTAAAGGGAAACAGTCGCTACTGTGGAAACTACACCACTGAATAAAGCATCAACAATCACTTATAACTTATGTTAAATTTAATTCATATTATTCCACTTTTCTTTTAAATATTAAAGACATTGCAAGCAACATCATCCAATTCCGACCAGGCACAGCCAGGGCACGGGATGCGAGTCAAGAGGAGAACAGAAACTGTTTCTGTTTCATCTCTTCCAATATGTTTAAAGGCAGAAAAGAAAACATTTATAATGATGATTTACAGGGCACCAAGATGAAGGTATACAGTTCCAAGCGCACTAAGTATGGTGTGGATTTTCTACATTTATTTTAAAAAAGCTGTCCTGTGATGTTCAGTAATTAAAAACACACTTCTTATTTTCTGTTAACTGTTGTTTTTGTTTTTATAAGAAAAATAACTGAGCTACAATAAATTGTGTACCACGTTTTACTATATATGCTTGCTGACGTCAATTTTACCTGACTGAGCATAGTAAGCAACTGTTGACTGGTGCTGGAAATTAAGATACAGCTGGCAAGAAAAAACAAAACTCAATTTGCTACAACCCTAATTATTAAAACATATAATTGGATGACAAATAAAGGAAAACTGGTCCATCTTGTCTGACTATTTACAGTGATTCTGGTTTTGTGCATCCTTACTTGAAACCTCCCACTTTATTTGTTTCTGCCATCTCGGATTGTGAAATTATAGTTCGATACAAATATTACAACAGATGCTCCGATCGCAGTAATCACCAAAGATTATTTAAACAGTAATGTTTTCCTTTATAGAGAGGTTTACACTTCTGTATTAGCATACCAACTTTGGGCATTGTACGTGTCAGCCTACAGAACGTGATGTACTTTTGTTTATAAGCTATTTGAAAATGTAATAAACTGTGACCATACAGGGAGGATGTAATTGCCCAAAAGGTTTCTATTCTTTCATTTTCTTCTGATGACACCCAAGAAGGTAATTATTTACTACTGGAACTGGCAAAATGTTCCGGAGTGTATCTGTGGAAACTTCTCACACTTGTCATTTATGCTTCTGGAAAAAATAAAATAAATACATAAATCCTTGCTATTTGAAACAGTGCAGCATAACAAATTATACAGTAATTGAGTTTACTGAAATGGACAAGTAGTGAACATACATACACTACAAGCACGTCAAACTCGCGGCCCACAAGGCCTGGCGAGCCGCGAGTGTACTGTTAAAGCAGAGAAGGCACCTGCTTTCCCCACATTGCAGGTGCCTACTCTGCTAAAACCTACCCGGCCGGGGAGGAGGGCCAGTGAGAGAGCATAGTGTTCCTGCTTCTCACTGCTCCCTCGCACGCGCCGTCTGTAGTGAAGCCGGGCACCGGAAAATGACGTCATATTCCAGTACCACTAAACCGTGCGAGGGAGCAGTGAGGAGCAGATAGATGATCCCCACTGGACCCCAGGGAGAGGCCCCACATCGGTTCCCAAAGGTAGGAAACAATAAAGAAAAGTATGTGTATGTGTGTGTCTGTCAGTGAGTATGTGTGTGTGTCTGTCAGTGAGTGTCAGTGATTGTGTGTCTGTTTGTATCTGTGAGTGTGTGTGCATGTGAGTGTATGCACACACTGTCAGTGATTGTGAGTGTGTGTCTGTCTGTGAGAGTGTGTGTGTGTGTGTGTGTCAAGTGGGTGTATGTGTGTCAAATGGACAGTGGAGTACCTGGAGGTGCATGGAGGCATGCAGCGCCACGTCACATTCCGACGTGACATCAACGTTCTCCACCTTCACAGGGTTTCAAGAAGAAGCGGGAGGATCAGATTTGGCACAGGGTGCAGACGGCGCCATTAAGAGTATACCAGTGGCAGGACTCCGGAGTCACATACTGGCAGCAGCAATGTGAGTGGAGTCTGCTTGTTGGCTAGAGGAAGGTGCTGGGATTTAATAGGGTTATTATAATAAGGGATTATTATAATAATCTGGTTACGCTGATGACAGAAGTGGCGTTACAAATCAACACAAAGTATGAAACACTAACAATGTTATCACCTAAAGAATGAATAACCTTGAAGTGATTTTTAGGCAAATATAATGGAACTGATAAAATTCAGGTATGCTTTTCGTTCAGTTATATTGACGTAAACATTTATATTCACTTTGAATCCCTGACCATCAACACTCTACTGACACAGAAAATGTCCACATTGATCTTCTGTGTTGCTGACCTCGGGCCAGAACTGAACCCAGTTAAAGGTGTAATACATGTTTTAATTTAACTAAATATATATTAAAATCTTTTTCCTGGCACTGCAGGTCCCCTCTCCCTCCCACCCCCCATCCCATGTTGCTGAAGGGGTAAAAACCCCTTCAGTGACTTACCTGAGACCACCGCTGATGTCCCTCTGCAGTGGTTTGGGATCCGCCCACGCTCCTCCCCTGCCATCAGCCGGCGGGGGAGACCAATTGCGCATGTGCGGCCGTCGGTGGGATGAGACCTAATGCGCGGCTTGCATTAGACCTCCCCATAGGGAAGCATTGAAAATGCCTTCAATGCTTTACAATGGGGATTTTAGCAACGCTGGAGGTCCTCACATAGCGTGAGGACGTCCAGAGATGCTATAGCACAGAAAACCTGTGCTATAGACCAGGAAGTGCACTCGAGTGGCGGTCTAGTTAACCCTGCAAGGTAATTATTGCAGTTTATAAAAACTGCAATAATTACAGTTGCAGGGTTAAGGGTAGTGGGAGTTGGCACCCAGACCACTCCAATGAGCAGAAGTGGTCTGGGTGCCTGGAGTTTCCCTTTAATATTGGGTTGGCTATAGTCTGATTCCCCAGATGAGGTTGTATGGATGACCTGGAGCTGAAATCATGGTATGCTGTTAATGAAAGTTTCACGATTTGTGATGCAATTTAAGTGTCTACTGTACCGTAAGAAAAAAAAAGCTTTATATTTTCAAGCAGTTACTAAATGAAAAACTTATAAAATAAATAAATAAAAACCACAGCTTTAAGTTCATTAATGTAAATGCAATTTCCCAGAACAGAGACAATATAGGCAAGCATAACTGAAGATTCCACAACTACTACTATACAAATAAGTCAATAACACACCAGTGACAGGTGGATATAAACACATACAAAGTAAATATTAGAAAAAAATTCAGATTTCCCACATGATGCATTTTCTCAACAGGGAGTTATTTCAGTAATTTACAGAGACACTTTAGTTACCAGAACCACTATAGCTTAATGTAGTTGTTCTGGTATATATAGCCTGTCCCTGCATGCTTTTTAATGTAACACTGTATAGGAACACCTCTAGTAACAGTCACTCAGACAGGCACTAGAGGTGCTTCCTGCGTCAGTGCTGCACAATGTGCATCATCAACTTTCGGCATCTCCACGCTCTGCATATAGATGCATGGGTTCAATGCCTCTCTATGAGGAGATGCTGACTGGTGCACCACTGTGTTTAAGCCCAATCTTGACCCTAACTCCCCATCCAACTATCGTCTTATCTCAGACTTCCTCGAGTCCAACTCTCTGCTAGACCAGCTTCAGTCTGGTTTCCGCCCTAAGCACTCTGTGGAAACGGCACTGACTTAAGTATCCAATGATCTACTCGCTGCAAAATCTCGTGGTCACTACTCTACCCTAATTCTCCTTGACCTGTCTGCGGCTTTTGACACTGTTGATCATCAACAGCTTCTTCTCATCCTCAGCAATATCGGTCTACAAGATATTGCTCTTTCCTGGTGCTCCTCCTACCTCTCCCAGTGCTCTTTCAGTGTTTCTTTCGCTGGCTCTGCTTCTTCTCCCCAACTCCTCTCTGTTGGTGTCCCCCAAGGTTCAGTCCTTGGTCCCCTACTGTTAGAATTCTGGTTCTTGCTTTCAAATCTCTACATAATGCTGCTCCCACCTATCTATCCTCCCTTATACACAAGTATGTCCCGTCAGATCCTTACGATCTGCTGAAGACTTATGTCTATCTTCTGTCCGTACTCCCACCTCTGATGCTCGCCTTCAAGATTTCTCGAGGGCTGCACCGTTCCTGTGGAACTCGCTTCCCTCCTCCATTAGATGCTCACCCAGTCTCCACTCCTTCACTCCAGTCTCCACTCCTTCAAAAAAATCGTTAAAAACCCACTTCTTCATAAAAGCGTATCAATTAAATGGTTAATAGCTCCCGACTGATTCCTCTTCTGCAACTGTCACTACCCTAATACTATCCTTACCTTTTTGTGTCATTTTACCCCACTCCCTCTAGCATGTAAGCTCACTGAGCAGGGCCCTCAACCCCTCTGTTCCTGTGTGTCCAACTTGTCTGGTTACAACATGTCCATTGAAAAGCGCTGCGGAATTTGATGGTGCTATATAAATATCATAATAATAATAGCCTCCCAATGCTTTTCTATGGTAAAGCATTGGATAGGGTGAGATCATTAAGTATGATGATCTCAGCCAAGGAGGCGAAGTCAGCCACAGAGAGGGGCACGGCGTGGGAGAAAAAGTGAGTAATATTACTTTTTCAAAGCGATGCAAGGGGGCTGAAAGTATATATAGTTACATAATAACATTAAAGTTTGCTGGCTGTGTATAAATGATGATAATGATGATGATGATGATAAAGTATGTTGGTAGTGAATTAATAATAATGATGATAAAGTATGTTAGCAGTGTATAATAATAATAAAGTATGCTGACAGTGTATAATAATATTGATGTTAGCAGTGTATAATATAATAATAATAATAAAGTATGTAGGCAGTGTATAATAATAATAATAATAATAATAAAGTATGCTAGCAGTGTATAATAATAAATTATGTTAGCAGTTTATAATAATACAGCATGGTAGCAGTGTATAATAATAAAGTATGCTAGCAGTGTATAATAATATTAATAAATTATGTTAGCAGTGCATAATAATAATAAAGTATGCAGGCAGTGTATAATAATAATAATAATAAAAAAGTGTGCTAACACTGTATAATAATAATAATAATAATAAAGTATGCTAGCAGTGTATAATAATAATAAAGTATGCTAGCAGTGTATAATAATAATACAGTATGCAGGCTGTGTATAATAATAATAATAAAGTGTGCTAGCAGTGTATAATAATAATAATACAGTATGCTAGCAGTGTATAATAATAATACAGTATGCAGGCAGTCCATAATAAAGTGTGCTAGCAGTGTATAATAATAATACAGTATGCTAGCAGTGTATAATAATACTAATACAGTATGCTAACAGTGTATAATAATAATACAGTATGCAGGCAGTGTATAATAATTATAATAATAATAAAGTGTGCTAGCAGTGTATAATAATAATACAGTATGCTAGCAGTGTATAATAATAATACAGTATGCAGGCAGTGTATAATAATAAAGTGTGCTAGCAGTGTATACTACTAATAATAATAATAATAATAATACAGTATGCAGGCAGTGTATAATAATAATACAGTATGCTAGCAGTGTATAATAATAATAATACAGTATGCAGGCAGTGTATAATAATAATAATAATACAGTATGCAGGCAGTGTATAATAATAAAGTGTGCTAGCAGTGTATAATAATAATACAGTATGCAGGCAGTGTATAATAATAAAGTCTGCTAGCAGTGTATAATAATACAGTATGCAGGCAGTGTATAATAATAATAATACAGTATGCAAGCAGTGTATAATAATAATACAGTATGCAGGCAGTGTATAATAATAATAATACAGTATGCTAGCAGTGTATAATAATAATACAGTATGCAGGCAGTGTATAATAATAATAATACAGTATGCAGGCAGTGTATAATAATAATACAGTATGCAGGCAGTGTATAATAATAATAATACAGTATGCTAGCAGTGTATAATAATAATATTAACATAGTATTATTTATTATTATTATTATTATTATTAATATTAATCTGTGCAGTGGCCCCTGCCTGTCTCACACTGGGATTCACACTGGGATGCACACTGCTGATAACCCCATACAGCTGGCTGTTGTAGTGGGTGATGTCCATGGCACTCCAGCAGGGGTGGCACACTTCTCCCATGATGCTCTGCTCCCCCCCAACCCTGACCCTACCGACAGACAGCCCCTGGCGGTACCCACCCCCCACCTCACCCGGCTCGGTCAGGGAGGACGCGGCCACCGGCTTCTCTCCGAGTTCCTCTCCGCCAATCCTCGCGAGACAGACAGATCGGGCGCGGGCACGCGGGAGGCTGACCAGGGTGGCGCGCGGGCACAGCTAGCTAGATGGAGGGTGTGTGGGCGGGGCATGGTGAGGTCGGGTAAGAGCAGCGCGCCGCCTAGTGGTTGCTCAGTGTCTGTGGGACACCTGACTCACCTAGACAGCCTGTTGCATTCTGGGAGTGTGGCTCACCAAGTGACCCTGTTTAGGAGGGACAGAGAGTGACTAACTGTCAGCAGTAAAACTAAATATAACCCTGCCTTTAACCCCTTAAGGACCAAACTTCTGGAATAAAAGGGAATCATGACATGTCACACATGGCATGTGTCCTTAAGGGGTTAAAGGAAGACTCCAGGCACCCAGACCACTTCTGCCCATTGGAGTGGTCTGGGTGCCAACTCCCACTACTCTTAACCCTGCAAGTGTAATTATTGCAGTTTTCTATAAACTACAATAATTACCTTGCAGGGTTAACTCCACCTCTAGTGGCAGTCTACTAGACAGCCACTAGAGGACACTTCCTGGTTTCTAGCACAGGAAACCTGTGCTAGAGCGTCGCTGGACGTCCTCATGCTGTGTGAGGACCTCTAGCGTTGCTCATTTCCCCATAGGAAAGCATTGAAATGCATTTTCAATGCTTTCCTATGGGGAGCGCTAATGCACAGCATTGCCGCGCATGCGCATTAGGTCTCCCCGGCCGGTGGGCGGGATCAGTCTTGCCCACCGGCCGACGCAATGCAGAGGAGGAGCGGCGGTAGAGGAGGAAGCAGCGACGTGGGACATCGTCGCTGCCTCAGGTAAGTTACTGAAGGGGTTTTCACCCCTTCAGCAACCAGGCATTGGGGGGGGGGGGAGTGGGAGAATCTGCAGTGCCAGGAAAACGGATTGTTTAACTGGCACTGGAGTTTCCCTTTAACTTAGCAAGCCTGTGTGCATGCCATACAGTACTTCAAATTGGCAAAAAAAAGGACAGTTTTTGTTTAACTGTCGTAGAACATTTTCGGTGACTTTATGACCTACTGATATACACTTAAGTACAGGAAAATGCCATTTAGAACAAGACAAAAGACAGATTTCTAAATGGATTTATTGTACCTTAAAGGGAAACTCCAGGGCCAGGAAAACAATCCGTTGGAAAAAAGGTAAGGGATTAACCTCTTCCTCCCCCTTCAGCGAGTTTGTTTTCCTGGCACTATAGTGGTCCTTTAAGGCTGTGGTAGTTCACGACATCTGGATTACCTCTGGAATCTACTATTTCTAGTCTAAGTCAACCAACCGGTTTTCGAAGTTACCCCTATCAGTAAATATATATCATGCAATACAGAAATCATATGATATTATATTTGTGGCATGGTGGTCGCAAAGGCAATACTTTTATTTATATAAAACTTAAACCATGTACATTTTAGCATGTCCCAAGGTTATCTGTTAAAATTAAGGCATTGTATAAAATTCTGGTGAAGCACTTCAAAAATGTTATCACACCTAAGTAATATCCCGGGCCGCCGAACGTTTGCAGTAAAAATATTTAATAAACGCTTTTTTTTTTTTTTTTAACTCCGTGCTGCTCACATCTCCGCCTTCCACGAGTTTGTTTTATTGTTTGCAATGCTTAAGCCAAGAAATTACGGGTTCACAGAAAATATTTTTGTGAATACGTGTTACTCTTAAAGAATAAAGATTTTATAGCACATTATTAATTATGAAACAATAACAAGTTCTCAATAGGAGAAATACAAAAACCTTTGCCAAAACCCGTTTCAAAGGGTTTGTACTTCAAAAGCACAACTGCAACCTGTACGTAAACACTGCTTACTTTCCTTATTACAGTATTCTATCTTGGCTGAAGTGTCCTTTCATTAATGACCTGTTTTATTTTAAAAGGAAATTTTACTTGAAAAAGTAAGTACTATATCAAATACCTAAGTTAGGGTCTCTTGCCAGAATATCAATTTATATTTGCAATGGCAAGTTAAAGCATCTGCTAAACATTTATTTTATTTTTTATTTTATTTTTTAGCAAATGATCATAATGTCACTTTAATTCAATTATTTTAAATTTGAAATAAATTAAATTTTCTTTTATGAGTGGTAAAAATCCCATGTTAACTAGTCATTATACGTCTATGCTGGGTTATCCTTTGAACGGGACAGTAACCCCAAGCATTGCACTTTTGGGGTCCGTTGTGTGAATGCCGTGAGCGAGATGCCCTCACATTGATATCGCTGGGTGCTAGGAGCAGATGGCTAGCTGTCAGTAACTCTAGCCACCACATAACAATTCGAGAGGCCATGAGTGCCAGCATTTAAGGTTAAATCTCACCAGCTGCTGCTTGTTTTGGTCCAGACAAATGTTGATGGGGAGCAAGAAGTCTGTGTCGCCTGATGCAGAGCTTTTTTGTTCCTCAATACTAGACACCAGTGACAGAATGGAGTCCGTCTCCCCTCTCTATCACTCCTGGATGTTTTTTTTTTGCTCAGAAATGCTTGTTGTCTTGCTTAGAAATGCATTAGACTTGAGAAAGGGAGGTTCTCCCGAAAGCTTGTCGTTAAAATTTTTTGTTAGTCCAATAAAAAAGGTATTACAAGATATGCATTTGATCTGTTTTTCCCCCCCTGGAAAGGTGAGGAGACATGGGAAACCAGGTCTGTTATAGTATAATACTTTTCTGTTATTATTGTTCTGTATATTTGGAATCCAGATCAGATTCCTATTGGGCTGAGCACCCCACCCCTCTACTACACGTGCCCCTTTGGAGGTGACCACAGGAATGTACAAATTTGAAATTGAGGAAAATCTATGAACGCAGTGTAAGCAGTAAGTATTGCAGTAAACATAATAATCTCCCATGTTAAAATTAGTAAAGGACCCACCGATATTGGGGTACTTTTTTAAATTATTGGTGGGTTTAACACACTATGGCCATATGGTGGAACTAAATCCCCTTATTTGTTTGCTGAGATAGGTGATTTTAAGTAACCTTATACATTGTAAATTGTATTATTGTGTGTGAGTGAGCGCTGTTCCTTAATCTGTACAATGTAAATGTATGCAGACGAAAAAAATGTACACCTCTTTTCCTGGTGTTGACGGATGTTTTTTTTCCACTATTTTCTTTAACAGATGAAAAAGAATTCCTGAAAAAGCGTTTCATGTAGTCGATTAGTTATGTGTGCACTTGATAAGGCTTGGACAGTTTCCTGTGTGGAAACTCTCTGAATTTGTCATGGAACATTAAGTAATCCAAAATCCAGTAATGAAATGAACATCATGAGTCTGACTATGCGTATATATATATATATATATATATATATATATTGTGTGTGCATGTGGAACATAGCAAACAATTGCATTAGAGACATTGATTTCTAATTTTACTTAAAGGGACACCATAGTCACCAAATCAACTTTAGCTAAATGAAGCAGTTTTGTGTATAGATCATGTCCCTGCAGTGTCACTGCTCAATTATCTGCCATTTAAGAGATAAATCACTTTGTTTATGCAGCCCTAGTCACACCTCCCTACATGTGACTTACACAGCCTTTCTAAACACTTCCTGTAAAGAGTCATCTAATGTTTACACTTCCTTATTGCAAATTCAATTTACTTTAAAATATCTTATCCCCTGCTCTGTCAATAGTTTGCTAGACCCTGCAGGAGCTTCATGTGTGCAAATCCAGTTTATTTTGCAGAGCAAGAGATAAAAACCTTTAAATTAGGTTACGTCTGAATGAAAATGAAACCATTTTGTTTTCATGCAGTCTGTGCCAGCCACAGCCAGGGGAGGTGTGGTTAGATCTGTATAAACATATAAACAAAGTGATTTAACTCCTAAATGGCAGGGAATTGAGCAGTGAAACTGCAGGGGCATGATCTGTATTTACCAAAACTGCTTCATTAACCCCTTAATACCGTAAGGGCGTACTATGCCGCCCCACAAATAGTGAGCCTAAACGCCATTAGGGCCGCATAATATGCAATTCACTTACCTAGACCGGCAATCTCGTTCTGGCGGGACGGCCTCTCGAGACAGGCAGTTTTCCATTTCGGCCCTCCAGGGGCCTGCCTGAAGTGCAGTCCCCCTGGTGTCTGACAGGTAGTCTGTCTGGTGTCTGAAATTAAAATAAAAGTTAGGATCAAACATTCAAATAATATATTACACATATATAATATATTATAAGTGAATTAAAACACCTGATTAGCATATTATACATATATAATACATGTATAATTTAATTCTTACTGTATTTTGGCAGTAATTTATATTAATTACAAAATACACTTAGAATTAAATTATATATAAATGTGTATATTTAGCTACTATATTTACATAATTAATTAAATTAATTAATTATTCAAAAGACCTGCCTGACAACCCAGGCAGAAAGTCCATTGAATTTAATTTACAAGTCCTATATTTAACCCTGTAACTTCCCCTAACACCATAAAAGCTGTACATGTGGGGTGCTGTTGTATTCGTGAGACTTCGCTGACATAAATATGAGTGTTTTAAAACACTAAAATTTGTAATGACAATGATATCGTCTGTGAAAGGGCATTTTGTTTTTGTAAAAAATGCATGTAACAAATATGAATGCTAATTTTGGCCAGGGTTTGTGACTAAGTGGCTACTAAAAAAGACTGGACATATCCCATTTTGAATACCCTGGGTTGTCTACTTTGGCAAATGGTATGCCATGATGGGGTAAATATCATTCCTGGGCTGCCATACAGTCTCGCTGAACACAAATATGAGTGTTTTATAAGTGTGTATATTTATCTACTATATCTACATAATTAATTGTATTAATTAATTATTCAAAAGACCTGCCTGACAACCCAGGCAGAAAGTCCATTGAATTTAATTTACAAGTCCTATATTTAACCTTGTAACTTCCCCTAACACCATAAAACCTGTACATGTGGGGTGCTGTTGTATTCGTGAGACTTCGCTGACACAAATATGAGTGTTTTAAAACACTAAAATTTGTAATGACAATGATATCGTCCGTGAAAG